TATAAGCATACAGTGTGGGGCCTGGGGTGTTAAAACTTTTGCGTAAAGACTGTAGTTTTTAATCATGTATTGTAACATAGCTTCTGATATTTTTCAACTTAGCTTAAATTCATCATAACAAAATATCCGTCGGTCCTAATTTTTTGTAGCACATAAGATTATGATTCTATAAAATTTAGGAGTAAACTGAATTATACCTATCAGAAACGTCCCTCTACTGAATATTCTGTTGATAGAAGCCGATACTGATCGTTGTTGCATTCCATTAAATCAAAGATCGAAAACCCCCAATTTGTCCCAGCCCCATGGAGTATCTCTTCTCGGCACTGTAAGAATTTATGAATAGGAAGTATATGGTTCAATTGCCTGGCTGAAGTTGCCCCAAATCGTTCTCAATCTGCAACTATTGAAATGAAACCAGTTTCGCTTGGGACAGGAAGGCCTTTAGACCTAAGCTTGCTAGCCCTTTTAGCTCTTCTCTTCAAAGACAGATCATCCCAATTTTCATACAGATTTTAAGTCTGAGCATGTAATCTTCGCTATGTGGGCCTGATCAGAAGCTTCTTGTGTTTCGGCATTTGGCGTATCTTCGGGCAACAACCAAGGGCGCGGCCAGTCGCCAACCTCAGCAGGCACTCGAGGAATGATCCAAAGTCCGCCATCCGCTTCAGCAGGGAGATCCCATGTACTTGGCTCACGCTCTTCGGAGAGACATTCAGTCTCTTCTGGGGTAGGGTCAGGTTCTTCGACGAAAGACTCAGTCTCTTCAGAGACAGGCTCAGAGTTCTCGATGAAAGACTCAGGCTCGGCTGGGACAGCCTCAGGTCCTTCAGAGACAAGATAAGGCTTTTCAGAGACAGGCTCAGGTCCTTCAAAGACAGGATCAGGCTCTTCAGAGACAGGCTCAGAGTATTCGACGAAAGACTCAGCCTCGGCTGGGACAGGCTCAGGCACTTCGGAAACAGGCCCTTCAAGAGGGGTTTCATTTGAGACGATGCCGTTTGGTGTCTTCACTAATGGTGTAGTAAAAAATTAGTTCAGCTTATTAGTGTATTTTTAATTTGCTGGAAGTGACTTACCCTGCTGTTCTTTCATAGAAACAATGCGAATAGATAGTATCTCGATAATCATTTTCATCACCGCAATATCAAATCGATGGTCTTGGCCGATAACATCGTAAAACTCGCGTAAACCAAGCCCCGGATCATTAGGCTTTAGCGAGCGCTGCAGGTTTCCTTGAATGTAACTTGGAAGCCAGGTTTCACCTGTGGGAAGACTTGAGAAAATGTCCCTCATGATTCGCAGTATTACAAGCACAGGGAGGTCCTCATCTAAGTGCTGCATCTTTTGCTGAGAAAGGACTTTAAGATCGGCAAGGCCCCAAATCCTTGACGCTTGGTAGACTAAAACGCTCCTCTTGTACTCTCTAGCGAGATCCGATATGCCTTCGTCAAGAGGAGAATTGACTGTCTCGTAGCCGCCTGTGTATAAGAAGTGCACCACGGTATGTCCAACGTCTTCATCAACATTAGACATGATGATATCTGATGATACAAGAGATGCCTGGGCAAGGTTTCGGTGATTCTGAAGGAAATGAGCGGGAATGATATATCGGTTGCTCCCTATAATGAGGGTAACAGGAAATTCGTAGAGCCAGTGAATAGGTTAGAAAACGCCGATTGTAACTCATTCAAAGAACTCACGATGACAAAGGCCGATGATAGTCAATTTTGGAAGAGATCTCTGAGGTGAGGGGGCGCATGGGCACCTCATTGGACTTGCCCTTCTTCCCTTTCTTTTTTGCCATGTTCTAGTCTTACTGTGACTCTGCTGGCTATCAAGTAACTCCCAAGAGATTGTACAAGAGATATATAAAAATAAAGGCGAGAAACCGCCTGACTACAGCTAATATAGCCGGGGAATGAGGGAGAAGTAGGGTAATGCAAGTATGAGTTGTCCTGCAAAGCGGCCGGAACACGTCATCTGTGCAGTGAATGGAAATTTAGTGTTGATTATTGAAATGCAGTACGAGTCAGTAGATGGCATACTACGAACAGCTACTTTCTCTTCCATACTTGATGTCCATAGATCATGGAGATAGCGTATTTGAAAAGGTCGCATGTAGTGTTGATGATCGCCCAGGGCGTGAACGGAACCGGGCTAATATGGGACTGGTTTACTCCGCTATTTCAGCGGCGAAACTAGGAGCAAGCGGGGTAAATGAACTGGAACCATGCCAAGATACTCAGTTAACGCTGGTAAATTAGCCTGGCGGCAGTGTTTTGTACTATGGCAATGCCATAATAAATGACACTTAGGCCGAAAAATTGGTGCTAGAGACTACTATACTAAAGGGGGTTAGACCACTGTGCCGGTAGGGTTTATCCTAAAATCGTGGCAGGAACTCTTTCCAATAATGCGGCCTTCCTGCGTAAGGCTAGTGAGGAGGCGTGATAACTGTATATTTAGTACGGAGTAGCCTCCTCTAACTTTGCCCCTGCTTCGAAGAAATGAGTGAAAGACGTGGCATACCCCCTTTCCAACGATGTTTGCATACAAGGCTGGGGCGGCGTAGTGATTGTTAGAGGGCAGCCAATAGGCAGTGGCAAAAAGAGCCGACTTGAATGGGGCCGAATTTCCCCTTCTTAGACTAGTTCATTCTGTAGCTTACTCGAATTAATAGGAGACCGCGGCTTAGCAGCCTCAAAACGTAGGGTATGGTCACGGGTATAATAGCGCATTTTAAACCCTGGTAATTGGTACGGGGTTTTGTAGGCTACGGGTAAATTCTATGAATTCTGTAGACATTTCCAGAGCCTCACTGAAAGACCCAATCACCGATGAACAGAAGCGCCAAGAATCCTAAGACATATACTACGTATCACAGTAAGTCGTGCTGTATGTAAATATGCAGGTGCTGCCAGCGCACAGAATGTTAGCCCCGGCGTATATGAACCTACCCACCCTACTCCGTATTGTAATGCAGTACGATTTACGAAAGTAGATTAAGCTAGATGATCCTAACCTGGGGCGTATATGTGACAAAGTTTGTGACCTTGAGTGGTTTTCTATTTAATATCGTAGCTGCCCTCAATCTAAGTCTTCCCTTTAACCTATATCCACTATCTCGATTGCACACGATGGTTCCCCAAAAAGTCAAGCTAAAATCCGAGAGGGAGAACTTTTTCCGAAACACCTCGGAAGTCCGTGATGAAATTAACAAGAAGAGACAATCCAAATTAGACGACTTTCTAGTCATCGAAATTGATTTTGGAACCATGTTAGAACTGGACGTAAAATATCCATATCAGTTGATACTAACAAAAGTGTAGATACTCAAGTGTGGCATGGGCAACGGTGGAAGATTTTGAGAGAGATGAAATTAACATTATCACCAATTGGTCTAATAACGGAAGAGAGGAACCGGAAGTCCCTACCGAACTGTTCTACGAGGATGGAAAGGTGAGTTGGGGATATGATATCCCAGAGGGCGGTGACCCTGTGCGTTGTTTCAAGCTGCTGCTCTTACGCGACGAAGATGTGGCTGAAGAGCAGCGTCAGTCTAAAGCTTTCTTCCGCGCCCGCAAATTGATGCGAGAGACGGGTAAAACGGCAACGGACTTGGTCGCAGATTACCTCCGACTATTGTGGCAGCATACCGTGGAAACAATCCACTTGATTCATAGCGAGTTAGACATTTCTGCGCTCGCTTTTCATGTTTTCATTACTGTGCCTGCTATATGGAAGGACTATGCGCGCAAGGCTATGGAAAAGGCTGCAGAGAACGCTGGCATTCTACAAGACCGTCCTATTAGCCCCACGGCCCTCGCTTTCGTTCTGGAGTCAGAGGCAGCCGCTCTCGGAACACTCTGTAAAGTTGGCCATAAGTATGGCCTTGAGACCGATGATGTTTATGTGATATGCAACGCTGGCGGACTCACTGTGGTAAGTTGGTGAATATTGGAGGCTGCAGGCGTGAAGCTGGATATTACGGGCTGATGAACTATAATATCGCAGGAGCTGAGCACATATCAAGTTGGAGAGTTGGATCCAATTGAGATACATGAAGCAGTGACAGGGACTGGTAATTAGCTGACCTTTCGGTATTTGTTGCTGGCAACCGATATCTAACATTCTCACACAAGGCGGTCTCTGTGGGGGCATATTTATCGACGAGGCGTTTGAAACCATCTGCAAAAATCGTCTGGGAAGACAATGGAACAATATTCCACGAGAAGGAGTCAAGTCTATCCTGAAATATCAGTGGGAATATGTTTACAAACCGGCGTACAAACCGACCACCGATGGCCGAGAGGTCGTTATTTCTGTTCCCTCCTGGGCTTTTGAGGACGCTAACCTTAACGACAAAAGAAGAAAGCCTTTCATCATAAATGGGCAAATTCACTTCTCAAGGTCCAGACATTTCCACCCTCCCCCAAGTCAGAGGCTGATTGATCTAGCTCCGATATTCAAAAGGCATTTACCTCGGTTTTCTCCGATATCGAGGTGCTCATTAATCAACAAATCAGCAAGACGCGGGAGAAAAGTCTTCCAGTTAAGGTCAGTATTAACAGTCTTTATTTATGGATTGATGCTCAAAAATCACCAGAAAGTAATACTTGTCGGCGGACTTGGTTGCAGCCCTTACCTCTTCAGTCTATTATCAGCGAAGTGTGAGCAACACGGCATAGAGATCATACAATCCATGGGCACAGCACCGTAAGTCTTACTATTGCTCAAATATAGTATCCAGGTAGTATGCTGAATTGTCATATCTATTAGGCGTACGGCAGTTTGCCGTGGTGCCATTATGAAAGGGTTTTGGGTTTTTGGTTGGACACAATGCTACTAGCTTACATTTTGTCGAAAGCTATGTTATAATACATGGTGGAGAACCGAGTGTTCAACACCTCAGAAAATACATGGACCGCTTTGGATGCGGGCCCTGTACAAAAGCACATATTGATTTTAATCATTAAAGTCCGCTTAAATTGTTAAATAGTGGATTTTTGTCATTTTAGTTAGTTAGAGTCATATATAGTTAACTATCTGTTATCTACATTATATTACTATGGATAAGCTTTATATTAGTTATAAGCCCGTAATCGTTTATTAAATTTTATCTATATGTAGATCAATCAACAATTCGTTAATGCCTTACGCGAGAATATCCCCAAGATTCGGGCCCGTGTTCCTGTGGGAAATCCCAGCTCTGGCTCAATTCCCTCAGATGTTTACACCGTAGACACTTCCAAATCGCAAAAGAATCTTGGGTATTGAGTATCATCAGCTTAGTGAGAGTGTAGTTGACGCTGTGCGCTCACTTGTGGAGTTGGAGGCTCGAGGCGCTTGAGGTATTCTTTAGAGTCAGCGAAATGTCATTTATATTTGGTCTTTCGTCTTTTTTCTTCAATTTTGGGATTGAGACCTTGTCAGAATGTTTGACGGATAGCCATTGCACTATCTTTGTTTCTCTTTCCTTTTCTCTCTGTATTGCTCCGGCTTCATGTCTGTTTCATATAGTCCTCACAGGATATAGCCTCCCTACTGTATATTGGGTTAGTATGGCTATAGTGCCACTCAAATATTTCCCACATAAACTCTGAAACTTGTTCATGTTTCGTTTGTCTTGCTTTGATCTCCATCTTCGCCCAATTTTCCAGGTTTGAACCAGCCTGGTTTCATCTTATTTAAGATTGATCGGTTCAACATTTAGGATCGTGAAAAGGCTTCTGACCCTTACACTACTCATCAAGATTGGTGATATCCTCAATATGCTCTCCTGTTCCTAAAATGACTTGCTTATACAATAATAATGTAGGGAGATTGAAAGGTGGAAAGTACAGCATAAATTAAATGAACTAATGCTCGCTGCGCTCTACACTATAGATTGGCATACATCATCTCCCATATATTCCATCGGTTTTCGAACAAGGTTACCAATGATAATCTTTAACAGGCTTAAAGCTTTGGCATCAACGGACTTAGCACTGCGTCATCAAAAGGCTTAATGCTGCGTTATTAACGGTCGGTCAGCCTGTAGAATGATGACGGCGAAAACTGCCAAGGCTCCGGGGCCAGCTGTGATTGGCCCAAAAAGATGCAGGGCTTGACTAGTTTCCGGTATTCTTCACCTCTCGGGCCGAGGGAGCTACCCATTGTGGAAACGGGCTCCGTGACGATCATTGATCGGCCGAAAATGCAGAGATCAATGCTCACGAATTATTATTGCCTGCAATAAGAGTTTCTTGAGCTACATGTCGTCCAAAGTGCCGTCGGCCACGCGGTTTTTAGACCAATCCAGCTTCCAAGGTTTGAAAATGCAGGCACCCGTAGATCCACTGGGCTTAAGCTATATAACATAGTTATGCTCACCTCAAGCTATCTTTTTATTCTTGCAAGATAATTTTCTCTCAATCGGATTTGATCGCAGTCTGGTATATCGCGCACTCTCGTTCGAAATGCATTTATCTGTCAATCCTGAGAAGGCAGCAATTGGCAAGGCGTTGCTTCTTGGTCTCTGTGCTACAGCTGGTGCCAGAGCAGCCGGTCTACCCATTGTTGACTTGGGATACGAAATCCATCAGGCTATTTCGTATGATGTGAGTATCAAAAGCAGTCTTACCGTCTGATCATATTGTTGACTTGGTGTTCAGACAGGACTTGAAACTTACAACTTCACCAATATCCGATATGCGGCCCCTCCAGTAGGAAGCCTTCAGTTCGCTGCTCCTTCGTATCCGGAGGTGAACCGTACACAGGTGCAGACGGGAGCAGAGGCTCGGATTTGTCCTCAAGCGGTTCCTTCATGGATGGAGGATTCCATGTCCAGCGCTGTAAGCTATGTCACCAACGGTAGGGTTACAAGCCTGGGTTCCGTGCTCTTGGATACTCGTGCAAGTGAGGATTGCCTATTTCTAGATGTTGTTGTACCCAAAAAGATCTTCAATGACACTGGCAAGAAGCACGCAAAAAAAGCACCTGTATGTGACTCTCCTAAGCACACAAAACTTCGACTTTTGATTCTAATGCTCACTCAGGTCCTTGTCTGGATATATGGGGGCGGTTACACTTCCAGGTCCAAATCAGGACAGAACAGTGGCTCGCCCAACGGACTCCTCCAACGTGGAGACAGCAACTTCATCTACGTAACACTTAACTATCGCCTCGGTGCTTTGGGTTTCCTTAGTGGTCCTACACTGCAGCGCAGTGGAGTTGCAAATGCTGGACTCTTGGACCAAAGATTTGCATTGGAGTGGATTCAAAAAAACATTCATCTTTTCGGTGGAGATCCATATCAAGTTACCGTCATGGGCGAATCAGCGGGAGGTGGCTCGATTTTACACCAGATTACTGTACGATATTTTGCCTTGAGTACGTTTTATGACGACCAGCTAACCACTATTTCAAAATTAGGCATATGGAAATTCCAATGGCAATGCTCCATTCCAGCAAGCAATCCTACAATCCCCTGCCTTTGCCCCTGGTAATTTTGGTGCGGGCGATCAAGAAAAGATTTTCAATGAGTTCCTTGCATACTGCAATGTGAGCAATATTGAGGAGGCTCGCAGATTACCTACCGAAATTCTTATTCAGGCAAATGCGCAACAAGTAATCAACTCGCCCATTGGAAGCTTTACTTATTGGCCTGTTGTGGATGGCGTGTTTGTCCCAGAAGCTCCGGCTACTATGATGGAAAAGGGCAAACTAGATAAGGGGGTAAGCGTGATGTTGGCATACAACGGAAATGACGGTGTCATCTTTTCCGACTTCTCTCTCACAAACGATACCGAATACCGGAACTATGTTTCGGCCTTGATGAATCTTACACCAAACCAAACCGATTACCTTGCTACCTCGATATATCCGCCTGTATCTGAGAGCTCCATTAGATACGTCGATGAAATCAGTCGCGCAGCTGTTACTTTCCAGGAAGGATTCATTCAGTGCAATGATATCTTCCTTGCTGAGGCAATGGGAAATCGTTCTTTCAACTATGTTTATGACGTCTTCCCTAGCCTTCATGCAATGGATTTTCAGGCAACGTTCGGTGTTAGCTCAAGCCCTCAATCTAACGAGTTTGATTCGTCAATCGCACTTCAACAGCTCATTACGAGCTTTGTGCTTACAGGAAAGCCCACCTCATCTCACGGAAATATGTCGACATATGGACCAAATGCCATGCTTTCGGTGATCAACGCTACTGCTATTTACAATGAGCAAGAGAGTCAAGATGCTGTGGCAAGATGTGACAGATTGTATGATCTCATTCACAGTTGATCAAAATTCGAGAAGGGTTTATCTACAGGGCGGGAGTGATATAGCAAGGGTGAAAGTGTGCACTCAACCGTCATTCAGCGTTTAGACTTCCTGTTCTTTTCTTGTCATTCTCTTGTTTTTCAATTTCTCTTCTTCACTTTCATTTTCTTATATGTCTTATATGTCCTGTTGCTAAATTCTGAAACTCGATATTCTGAGGGCGGATTGTCATCTGCTAAAACCAACCCAACCCCAAACCCGCGCGACATGGGGAGGTCGCTGAGATCATCGCAATGGCTGATTCAAGTGCGCAAAGGTTGAACTTGTTGACTAGATACAACACGGTTAGATTGGAATTCATTGAATCCTCATGAATTCATCAATATGGTCATAGGTCTTTTAAGATGCTGAAAAACCGCTATGAAAAATACAGTCAGAGAGTGTTGTTATAATTCAAAGGAGGGTTAATTTTGTTTGTTCCAAGGGAAGATGATGGCGTGTGCGAAAGAAATGATCGTTTGAAATTGAGATAGTGCCTTCTGGTGTTTCTAGCGAGCTCAAAGTCCATTATCAAGGTCAGAGGCTGGGATCAGGAAAGGCAGAATTGGAATTTCTGGGGTAGACAACGAGTGACTTGAAGCTGTCTTCCCTCATTGAAGGTTGGGTCTGAATCTTTCGAATATTTAGTTGACTTACTAGTGGCCGCCAATCATATTATGCGTACAAGCAGGGTATGTGAGCATTTATATATGCCTTTTAAGGTGTTCCTCTACTAAAGCGAGAAGAAGTGAGAGATGTAAGCTTCCCAAGTTTTACTCCTGTTATGTTATGAGGGGACAGGTATGGCGGCAACCAATGGAAAGTGACAAAAAGAGCCGGGTCGGGCCGATTTCTCCACTTAAAGTTTACAGTAATCTATACCCTGCCCGAGTAAGTAGGACAATGCGACTAGATAGCTTCATAATGTAGTAAGTAGTCAACGGACTTGAATTCTATAGAGACCACATCATATAGCACAACATTTTGATATCCCAAAATTACCCTCAAATGCATCGTATGAAGTTTCCTGGTCGCTCATTCCCAGGTGTTCATCGAGGAAAGTTTCTTGCAACAATTGTGCGCTCGAAATAGAATTCCCCAGGCAATTGTATATCAACTATAAAAAAAGCATGGCGAGTTAGTCAAGCTGCTAAAAAAAAAATCTGGTATAAAGGCTATACATACCATGTCTATCATAGCGGGGGCTTACTTTATTAGCCAGTGGCGTATTTCCGGAAGTATACAAAGGTAGGGCCGTGATTGGGGTAGCTTTGTAATGCGAAAAAAGTTAGGCAATTTCTCAAGTAACGCGTTATGGGATCACTACCTATTTGGGTATTCGAATGTCTCTTTATGTATTTCCAAATAGAGCAGAACAATGGTATCAAGGCTACAAATAGAGCAAAGATTGCGATGATGGCTTCGACAGATATGGACATGTTAGCTTAGTCAGTAATGAAGTAGCCAATGAATGTGCTTTGTACCCCCAAAAAATTAGAAGACAGGAGAACTGCATTGTGCCGAGTTTTGTAGTGAAGACCGAATATGTGGCGTGGGGTTCAGTGGGGCGCATGGGAGGAAAACACAGCCCCGTTTGCCAAGGGAGGGGTCAGCCTAAGTTAAGCTCACTCATTCTACAATGCTGTGGCTGCGGTCAGAAACTGATGTGTATTCTGACAGAAGTCTCGTGTATAGCAAGGTATGGTATAGAATGACAGATATGTATAACTCTAACTAAAATGATAACAATCCACTATTTGACAATTTGTGCGGATATCAATGACTAACCTTAGTATGTACTTTTATATAGGATCCATATCTAAAGCGGTCCATGTATTTTCCGAGGGTTTCGACTCGGTTCTCAGCCATGTATTGTAACATAGCTTTCGACATAATCACCTGGCTGCCAATACATGTACCCGCATGGATATATACGGAGTAGTCTCGGCTAATGCACTCTCACCTCCATTAATGGAAAGGAACTGTCAAGATCCTTACTGCCCCTTTTTATCTCCCGAGGTCTACTCTTGCGACATGGCCAACTTTTCTCAAGTACCAAATGAAATTTTGCTTCTGGTCGCCAAGTCCCTTTCCAGCCAGAAAGACATTAATGCTTTAGTACGGACCAACTGGAGGCTATGCCATCTTTTACACGCTTTTCTCTGTGATTTCAACATCCAGCATCACCAAAGCTCAGGATTACTATATACAGCTGGAAGTGGAAACTCCACCCTCGTCAAGAAGTTTCTCAATGCTGGGGCCAGTATCGCATCTTTCGAGCTCCTGCCCGATGAGGACGAAACCGATTTTGAGGAGTTTGAAAAACAGGACAGCCCGCTTCTCAGAGCTGCTCAAAATGGCCACGTCGGGCTTTTAAATACCATGCTCTCAGAGACAAACCCGAGCCGCGCGTGCATACCACCACAACTACGCACCGTGTTACATTGGGCTATCGAGACTGGCAATCAAGTGGTTGTTGAGTTAATGATTGCACACCAGGCCCCATTAGGTCGTCCACGAGTTCCCGGCGACGACTCTACAGCTCTGAGCCAAGCGCTTGAATTACGGTGCGGCAAGTCTATCATCGAGTGTATCCTCCAGACAGGTTGGAAACCAACGGCACTCTTCCCAGATCCATTTGTGCAAGCGACTTATTACAGTGGCACCTCTATACTACAACTTCTTCTCAGGTATAACCTTCGCCCAAGGTCGACTAGGATACTGTCTCATATTTCCCGTCGAGGCGATACTGCCTCTCTCCAGATCTTGATTGATTCTGGTTTAGATATGATAGTGTATGGTCATATTGCGCTCCTTGTTGCCATCGACTTAGGACACCAGCCCATGGTCCAATTGTTGATTGAAGCGGGGGCGAATCCACACCTATCAAGTATCGACACGAACTGGTGGTATTACTCTACAATTTGGCATGCGGTTCTATATCGCCAATACGATATCCTAAAGGCCCTGGTAGATAATGGTGTCCGCCCGGACTATCAAGACTTCCAGCTTGCCATCGATATGAACTTCTTGGAAGCCGTCGCTCTTCTTGAGGGATTTTCATATGAAAATATTCCAAAGAAGATGAGGCGGGAAAAATGGGTTCAGTATTGGGAGAATAAGCGAACTGCGGATCCTGATTTCCAACGGCTAGAGTAGTTCAACAGTCAGTAAATCTTTCTGAGGTTATGTTTTTGGTTAACAGGGGATCGAAAAAGAACCAAGAACTTGTTCACATGGGTATTCTCTTCGACCTTTGTGACAAGGCTTGAATGTTGAGTTTGAAGAGAGAGCCTTTGGTCTTTTTCTTTCATCAACCAGGAAGGTTGTTAGTAGATTAAGAGAATTTGAGTAGCAGAGGGGGAAAAAGGAGGATAGGACTTTTGGGAAGGGCAAGGTTGTCATGCCTAAGGCTGCACGTTCGCATTTGCCTAATATGCATGTATCCGCGTACATATGCCACGTCACAGAGAGCTCTAACCCATTATAATTTTTAGGCCCGTCCGTCAAGTGTATGTGTACGTGTGTGTGTTGCTAGCCGCCAAACGCTTCGTCGAAATCGAGCCAGGCTGACCACTTTCATTCCTCTCACTGCGGTAATCTTCTGATAGCTGCCATTAGGCCATCTGCCCATGGTTAGTCGAGCCAAATGTCACCCTCGCAGGAATTTTATCAAGCGATTCGAAGCCTGCGCAAACTAACGGATCAACCGTCCGAAGAGCACTCTTATCGGATGGACATCCCATCTTTCCAATCAGCAAATCACCTGTTGAAGGTTGAGGATGAGATGCAGTTTGCCGATGATATTGCATTCTTGGCTCAATGGCAAGAGGGTGTCGAATATGTGACGGCTGTCACTCTTCAGGAAATGGCAAATGGACTTGTTATCCGTATCGCGAGCAATCACACACCAACAGATAAAACAGTCCGCGAATTGAAGGGAACCATGGCTTTAGTGAGCGAATACGCCTCCAAGGGTACTTTCTTACTTAAATGCAAAAAACACTTCAGAGTAGCTGACCTACGTAGGAAAACGACGGGATGAATTTCGGGACAAAATATTCGACAAGATCGTTGATATCCGTGATGATCGAATTCTGAACAGAATTCGTCCACCTTGGTTACCACAGCCTGAACGCTATGTCAAGCGGAGGCCCTTTCTGCTCGCCCAAGTTCGGGCATTTGTTGATGAGATTTCCGCAATTAGAAGCCATTCCCCTGCCTTTCAAATCTTAGTACAGCCGGCGCGCCAGCTGATATCTTGCCTTTTGCCTTTCAAAAAACCTATCCCCGAGAGTATAAGAAAGGAGCACCAGAAAAATGTCATAAAAGCCTGTGCTGAATTGGCTAACATCGGTGGAACGGGATTACTGGAGGAACACCTTCATCGACTACAGGTTCCCCCTCATATCCGCGACAGAGGTGGAATACGGCAAATCGACAAGCTTGCACGATACTTTTTTGTCTGTCGGGATTTTATCAAAGTTGGCCGACGTCCAGAGTACAAGCCCTTGTTCTCCAACATTTCCATTGAAACTTTAAAAGCTTTCGAAGGATGGACGCCTGCAGGCTCTTCCTCCATGTGCTTTGTTCACGCAGAAATTCAGCAGATTGTTCACTACACGAACCATCCTTATAATCCTAGTCCGCGATTTATCGGCTGCAGCAAGTCCGCATGCTATCTTTGCGATATGTTCATACAGAAGCATAGCCAGTACCGAATCTCCCATGCTCACCGGCGGCTTTACGACAAATGGACTTTACCCAATCTAGATTATTCGACTTCCCAAGAGGCCCAACAGCTCCAAACCATATTGCAATCCATGACCGAGGAAATGGAAATCACGGCCAAAGGATTTCAACGAAGTCTTCGGCCTCCGAAGCAGTATGGAGCGGAGAGCATTGCATTCTTACCTCTAACTAGTGGCTCGACGGCGAGCAATACTTCCATTGCCACCCGACAACTTTCTATCCCACACGTGTCCCCCATATCGAGCCTCAAATCGGACTATAATACCAAGATTGCGACCACCAGCTTTTTGAGAACCCGATCCGAAGGAGGGTCTAGCAGAACTAGCAATGCGTCTTATCTTCTTCTTGGCCAAGACGATCTGCCATATTCACTTAATATCAAAGACATTAGGCACGAGTGCTTGATTCGAATCGGTGCAATCTTTCTTGATATCGAGCTTGTTACCCCTGGTCGGCTCTCTATCCGCCATGCAATGGATAATCCACTGCCCAGAGATGTTATAGATATCTGTCAGTTATCTACAATTACTGAAACAAAAGTGACTCATAACGCATCTTTATCGAATATGCAACTATTCCTGCGCCATTCCAGGGGTCTTACGATAATTCTTGACTTTGTCCGAGACGAGGCTTGATTTAATCCCAAATTCATCCCTGTCATTCCAGATGACTGTCTCTATAGAAGTTTACTATTCGGAAGGATGCCTACAGGTACTATATAGCCATAACAACAAGACTGTGGACCTCTATCATATTTTATTACAACGAGCCCAAGTTGTAAACTCCATTTGAAAATACTTCCATTGCAATTCCAAGCTATTCATGGGTTTCCCCAAGAATCTGCTGCGCATTATCCAACAAAATTCGTTCCGTTGTTTCTGATCCAAATAGAGTCTGCAATCCATCATCCACTCTCTTAGCTAAAGACTCAGCCAACGCCGCAGGGGTATAGGGATAGTCACTCCCATACAGCAATCTGGACGAATCAACCAGCCGCAGAAGACCATGAATCTGATCTGGGAACGGCACACCGGCAAGATCGAAATAGAAACGCGTCTGCAACAACTCCTTAATCCTCTCGCCACTAATACCGTCCGAACCGGGAATCAAAGATGAGAACTCCGCAATCCTCTCCATAATCGGAGGGAAAGTCGCACCACAATGGCAAACCACAAACGTAATCCCAGGACACCGATCAACTGTCCCAGAAGTAAGCAGACTCATAAGCGACCGCGTAGAATCGAACATGAACTCCATGATAGGTGCAGCAACACTAGGAAGCGGTATCACCTTCTCTATGGAGTCATCGTCGTGCCGGGTAAGACAGGTAGTCGGGTGAAAGAAAGCGATGGTCTTTCGCTCACTTAATTTGTCAAAAACACGACTAAAGCGCTGATCACCCGGGTAGATGCCATGCGAATTGGTCAGGATTTGAAACCCCACTGCGCCAAGATGGTCTAGTGCATAGTCTATTTCTGCAAGGGAGCCTTCCACGTCTGGAAGGGGGAGAGAGGCGAAGAAGAGGAAATGGGTTGGGTGATCGGCGCAGATTTTGGACATGTCGATGTTGGCGCGCCTAGTTACGGTTCGGCCTTCTTCGTCGTTGCCCGGGGTTAGATGTGTTGCTGGCGACGACATGCTTAGCACCGATTTTTTAATTTGCAGCTTGGTCATTAGGTCAATATGTGATTCAGCGCTCCATTCCTGGATTATGATGTATTTAGCAGGGGAAGTCGATGTGGTATTCAGGTTCAGAGACTCACTGGGATCGCGGGCATTCCATCTGGGTGGCCTCTGCCTGCGAAGTCGCTCTGTAGGCAATATTCGCGGTAGGAGGGTGGCACACAGTGGGTGTGAATGTCGATTCTCTCCATTTTGGATGTTGCGATTGTGTATGGAGTATTTTCTGGGGAGTTGTTGCTGATATTGATGAGCTCAATAGTGCTGCAATGTCTCCCCGCAAGAGATCGACACTCCTAGTGCGTATTCTTCACCGGCTTTCTTGTCAAACAGAGTCAGTCATTGCTTACCGACACCAGGTCAACTCCAAGTATCCCTAGGTATACATCGTGTTACGATTCCTCATTCTTGCCATGCTGTGAAACATCCATTGAGATCAACAGGCTGAGAAAATGTAAAACTTTGAACTGAAACTCCGTTTATATAAATGACTATATGAGATCTGCCTTTGGCAGTTCCTTCGGCTCAACAATCAACCCCCTTGCAGCCAATAGCCGCGCCTGAGTGAGTTTCAAGAACCGGTACGTATTATCCAAGATCGGTGTATTCACACCCTTCTCCCTCGCAACCCGCAAAGCATTCCCCAGAATAACCTCCGCCTCCAGCGGATTTCCCTTATCCACATCGACCAGCATACTAGGCCGGAAAGACAACTCGAGAGGAGTAGAATCAACCATCTCATCCACAATCCCCGGCCCGAGATCATACCCATCGGCCTTTGCAATGGCCGCCATCTCCGCCATACCGGGTCTAATCAAGCTATGCTCGCCGCCGAACCGGCGAATCGCAGCACTATCCAGCTGAGTGATAGCACACATGGGATTGAAAATTCCATTCCAGAGCACCTTCCGCCAGCGATAGAAGACAATATCATCAACGACATTGGCATCGACGACTTTGCTCGCGTTATAGATTGTCGCGAACTCTTCGAGCTTGGTGCGCTCGACCGCCGCATCCACGGATGGGTTGTGGAATGCGCCGATGTGGAAGTTGTCGTGGTCGTCGTGGACCACGTGGCCGTTTTTTTCATGTGCACCGATGAAACTCGGTGCTGATAGTACCACATTTGAGGGGAATGCTGCGATGATTGGTGGTTCAATGTATAGTCCGTTTTGGAATAACACGATCGTTGTGTGATCTGGGGTTATAGCGGGAGCTATGATCTTGGGGATATTGTTCACTTCAGGGATGTTTTTCATTGTGACGATCACGTAGTCAAATGGGGTGTTGGAATCGGCTAGGGGAACAGCATTGACGACTATCTATGTATTAGCTTCAGACTAAACTGGCTCACTGTTTTCCGCTCGCGACTTTTCGATACATACTTGCGCTTGGTCTCCAGGATGATAGATTTCCATGGTCGATGGACTCGATTTCGAATCCATGCTTGACGACCTGTTCATAATTCGATCGGAGAACAGAAGTGACAGATGCTTGTCCAGATCGCTCGAGTGCGACGCTGACCATCGTCCCTACACCCCCTGATCCAATCACCAACACTCGGCGCTTTGCCGGGGTACTGCTTGTGTCGTGGGACATGCTGGGCTAATTGACTTCGTGATCGCTTTTGAGGATACAATGTCAAGAACTTAAGGAATTTACTGTCTAATTCTAATTACGGTCACCACCCCACCGCCGTTTTATGCAAAGCGGGAGCTCCGACGTCGGGGTCTCCTTCCCCTCTTATCAACATTTCTTATCGCCGCTCGATGACAAACGACCTCAAGCTTGGGAATTACCCGATTGGGTTGCTGTTTATTCTGTCACACTTCATGGAATATACTCGGCAATAAACTATACCTCAAAGTCAATGTTGCACCATGGACGCGTAAACTGTATTCACAACACCAACCGATCGGATGATAAAAAGTGATGTAAGTAACATGTCTACCCTTCTAACTCACCTCAGCCCCTATGCATTCCCAGAATCGCAACCCAAGATGAAGAACCCAGTCAAGCAAATGCGCTTCCCAGCGCTCGAAGACATCTTCGAGTACGTACAAGATGTCGTAGAGACCTCCGGCCGATGGGTCAACTGGCAAATCATACGCGGCAAACGACATATATGGTGGGAGACAGACTGGGACGTGGTATCACGCTGGGCGCAATCGATCATCGAGACAGAACAACGTCTACGCGAAACCACTCAACGTGAGAACTTCCTCAAGAAGTGGATCCACACATTCCACAACGGCTCTGACGAGGCAGGGAAATTCGTTTTACCGGATCTGATTGAAGACTTGATAGCCCTGGACCAAGAGTATGTACGCCTTGAGCGAATATACGACACCCTCCTAGCGGGTTGTCCTGTGGGACCTATCAAGGACGGATATATGTGGATTCGAAAGCAGCCGCAGTGGTATCTCGGGAGTGAATGGCTACGCCAGGATTGTGCGAGACGAGGTGGGTGCTGTGGTCGTGAGTGTAAATGCTGTGAGAATCCTCCTGATCTGATGAGGAAGAAGGGTTGGGGTCATTGTACGGCTGAGTGTCATTGTTGTATTGATGTGCGTCAGTTTCAATTGACTGAGAGAGATCGGAGGATGTTGCGACCGGACTTTGATCTTACTGTTTACCCGTGGAGTGATTATAGTCGAGAGATGTTTCGTGCTTATATTTGGTCGCTTGACTAGGTTTTTTGTTAGTTTTCTTTTGAGTGGATGTTGCTGGACCTCGGGAATGTCCTGTTGCTCGGTATATAGTTCTAGTTAATTGCCGCTTTCCTCTTATCGGTATTCCAGGCGAAACTATTTTGCAGGGACTAGAAGCTTAAGTTGAGACAAAATGAAGGAAGATACCAGTGCAGTCACAGGGTTATGTGAATCAAAGATAAAGGATCGGCGGGGGAAGCTTCCTCGCAAACCCGAAATCCGCCAAGCCGGCACGTTTAACGCATTCTGATTCGACCGAGAGTTGAGTATCAGAGAGCCACATCAGTATACTGGGGGTTTCCCCGCAGTCCATATTCGCACTTGATAAGGCTGCGGTCAGATTTCCGCAGTGCAAATCCATGGATTGCTTAAATAGACAGACCATCATGCCTAACATGCTCGCTCAAGTTCACCCTTCTCTTCATTATCCAACCCTCAACGATGGAGAGTGACACTTATCAAGATGAGACCATCTGGGCTCCAGGAACAGTGAGACTAGAAGATAGTAAGTAACCACGACCCACCAATACTTCATATACATCATAACTTACAAAATCAGTCCACCAATCCAGAGACCAACTAGTCCTATTCCCCACCCCATCATCCGACCCCAACGATCCCCTGAATTGGTCAACAGCCCGCAAAGCCCTCAATTTCGCCCTAGTCAGCTTCTTCGTCCTATGGACCTTCGTCCAACTCGACATCGGCTTCACAGCATGGGGTCAAATGCAACCAGAGCTCAACTTCTCACTCGACATCCTAAACGCCAACGCAGCAATCAACTACGGCGGTCTCGCCATAGGCTGTATATTCTTCATGCCGCTGGTCCACAAGTATGGCCGACGCCCAATCTACATACTAAGTGTCGCCCTACAGTTCGCATCATGCATCTGGCAAGCCAAGATGACGACCGTCGGCGATCTACTGGGCAGCGGCCTGGTATCCGGCATCGGCGGCGCAATCAGCGAGATCATCGTACAGATCACCATTGCTGACATGTTCTTCGTGCACCAGCATGCCACGATGAACGGATGGTATATCATCATCCAGTCTACAGGTGCATTCCTTGGTCCCGTAGCTTCGGGATACATCGTGGTGGCACAAGGGTGGAGGTGGATGTGGTGGTGGTGTGTGATTTTCTTCGGCGTCACACTACTCTGTGTGGTATTCCTCTTCGAGGAATCGAAATATGTTCCCATTCTGGATGGTCGCGAGGTGATCTTGGATGCACAAGTGACTGGTGAACCGTCTAAATCACACTTAGACGGGGACGTGGTAGACGCAAAGAGCGCCAGTGAGACCTTCGCTAGTCGCGTGCATACCAACCAGGATATCCCGCTGAAGACCTATTCTCAGCGGATGGCTCTGGTGACTACCACGAACGAAGCGCTGTGGCCGCATTTCTATCAACCAATCATCGCGCTCTTTACCTTCCCGGCTGTCACGTACGCGGCTATCACATATGGGTCTACGCTATGCTGGTTTGCCGTCATGACTTCGCTACAGGCTTCTTACATGATTTTACCGCCTTATAACTTCGATGCTGTTGGTGTTGGGCTGATGAACTTGGCTCCATTTATTGGAGCTGTTCTTGGTTTCCCCTTTGGTGGACAGTTGAGTGATAAATCTATTCTTTGGTTATCCAAGCGCAATGGTGGTATTTATGAACCCGAAATGCGTCTTTGGCTTGCTCTGCCTATTGCCATTATTAGTCCTGCGGGGATACTAATGTTCGGGCTGGGTCTTGCCTATGTGAGTAGCGCGTTCAAAGTATCAAGTTTGGATTTTTAATTAATACTTTCTAGGGTGTGCATTGGGCTCTCCTTGCTATTGGATTTGGATTCTTTGGTTTTGCACTTGCTGCCGTTGGCGGTATTACGCTTTCATATCTCATGGATTGCTATCAAGACGTGAGTATCTATTTCATTTTGAATGCTTAGGTCCTCTTTCTAACCTGATGACCACTAGATTATCGGTGATGCATTAGTCGGAGTAATCTTTATGCGAAACATCTTCTCGGTGATTGTACTGTTTGTCCTAACTCCTTGGGTCAACAGGATGGGCATGCGAGATTTGCATATTCTGATTGCGGTGATTGCGTTTGTGATTCTGCTGGCTCCTATCCCACTACTCGTCTGGGGTAAGAAGGCCAGGATTGCGACGGCGCCGAGTTATAGGAAAATGGCGGCAAATCAGCTTAGCCATCGGACTATCTAGATGTCACTCTTCTATGAGTAGAATCCACGCAAGACAAATTGAAACTCCCCTTTATGTATCTGTTGCAAATGTAATTCTATGACATTGAGAAATGGTATAATATTTTGAGATAAGCTCATGAAAGTATATAAAATAAGAATTAAGGTGTATAGTGTAAATGAAGGTATCACAAAGAAGAATATAAAAGAGCGTGTCAAAGTTTTCCTGTTTCGCCTGACTCCCCGACCACCCTGTAGAATCCGCATGGAGCCTTTTCCTTCCAAGAATATTCCGCAGGTTTAGACTCTCTCCACCGCCTTCTCATCTTTCAAGTCTTCATATGGAGGCATCTCAAAAGTTTGCCGAACGACAAAGGACCCACTTTTCTTATGGTTGGAAGTGATAGTGGAAGTGACAGTACCTCCAGCAGTGCTCGAGCTGACAAGAGTCCGTTCGGATATGTTGTTGGAGGAGTTGGAGGAACGGATTTGGGACCAGAAGTTGTGACGACCCAATTTGAACAGAGGACGGAGGTTAGGGAGACAAGCGGCTGTGATTCCAACTGCTGCTTCCATACACGTCCATACGATAACGGGGACTTGGTTGTCTGGAGAAATGGTTAGTGATATAGATCGGCAGATTGAAGTACCAACACGTCAATACTCACAGGTAATATCAGGACCTAGATCGACCAGTCGAATCATGGCATTGAGGCGGAAACAGCTAAAGAGCAAGGTTCTAGATATGAAGTGTTAGTATCTTTCCACTGCGGCACGAATGGGAACTGTTAGACATACAGGCCACCGACGAGGAAAACTCCAGAGAGAAGCGCTTTCTGGGACTTGGGAATTGGCAATGTCCAAACGACTCTCATAGGCATGATCAAGAGAACGATGTCGGTGAGGATGTTGGGAATCTGCATGCCATAGTAGAATTTGGCGGGGTCAAGGCAGGCTCCTTCAACGGACTGATCCCAGAACTTCTTGGTGGGAATGCAAAGAAGAGCACCGGCAACGTAAACACCCACGACCCAGAGACCAACGAATCCAAACATGATGTTCACGGCAATTGCCATGTGTCGGACTGCAAAGAGGCGTTTGTACAGTGCCAGAATGGAGAATTTAATGAAGGCGATACAACCGGTGTAGATGAAGGCGTTGGCGAATCCGAGCTATCGGGAGTCAATGCGTGTACTTGGTATAGGGCTGAGGTGTTGTGCATCCTTACTTGGAAGTAAACCAGGAGATTTTTCGCCGGGATCATTGTGATATGGGACCCCATCCCATTGTACAGGACTAATATTAGTGTTAGTACAAAGTTATTAGATAAAGTTTCTCCTATCACTCACGAACAACGACTCCGCTGGAGCATGCATATTTAAAGAACAGAGCAACCATAATCAAATAGTCATCCATAAACAGCCTGCTTCCAGTCGCCTTCCTCGCCAGGATCCTTAAGGCAACGGATAAAGTCGACAAGGTGTACGCAAACACCAGTGCAATAATCATTGACCGGCGAAATTCCTGGTTCGGGTGCTCGAAGTCTCCCGGTGTCCACGTGGGGGTGGAGGAATGTTCTGTGGAAGACATGGCAGGCAGGTGTGGTGGATCAACTCCAACAACGAGGTGAAACTAAACGAGAGGAAGTTGTTGGTTTGAATGATTTGGAATTAATTAAGGCTGCGTTTGGGGTCTTTAATATACTTCGAGAAGATGGGAAAGGGGGGGGGTGGAAAGGGAGGGGGGACCCCATCTATGTATGTGTCATATCTTTCTTGATTTACCAAAATAACGCAAAGATGATATGAAATTTTTACGGATCACATCAATGACAAGGGCATGGACTAGTTGCAGATGGCATTTCAGCCCAGATATGGTCCAGTGCGAACGATTACATGCTGTGTTGTGTGACTACTTCTGCCTGAGAAAAAGCAAGACGCTGCTAATCAACGGTCCATCAGACCATAAACCAATTAAGATTATGTGCCTTGACCGTAGACATTTCACCAACCACATCGAGGCATAGGAACACTTTCCCGACGTATCATCTTGGAAGAGTGGATATATCAGATTTTGGTCTGACACTTGTGAGATCCACTTTCTTGCAAGACATTTTTCCCGAAAACTCAGTGGATAAGATAGGATGCGTAGAGCGGTATGACAGAATGTGCTGGCGCATTGCTTTTTGATTAAGATAACTATTGGAAATATGCAGCGAACAATGATTGTTCATTGCTTTTGCAGTCAAGTTCTCACCCCGGAGGATTAACTAACAGAATTCAGAACCCCTCCTTCTCTCCAAGCAAGGGATTGACAATAAAGCAGTCCACGCGGTTTTGACATTAGATAAACTGGGGTAGAGTTTCCCATGCTCTAGGAGAATAATCAGAACTAGACACATGTACTCTGTATGGAGTATCGAAATGCCTCCATTCACTAGCAGATGTCTCCCTATCTACTCCGTACTCCGTACAACCCATAACGTAGCCGAAAACGCCATGATCTTCCAATAATTGAAAGAAATGCGGGTCATTGTATACTTTTCCAAGGTCGCCGTTTTGGCAGATCCTCGTATAATAAGGCAGTTGAGGTCTAGGGTCTACCCGATATGATATGTCCATTAGACAGCGGACACATCCGATTGCAGCCCACATGGTGGAAGTTAGTGAACCTTAGCCGTTATATTAGATCCACATCAAAGCGTCTTTGTCATTGATTACGAGGTCGATATACGTCTCATGCAGCTGGATTGCACTGGAGTGCACCGGAGTGCATTTCCGTTGGATTTGGATTGCACCTGGATTGATGAATATATAGTTGCTTTTCCTGTATCGTCGCACAGAAATGCATAATTGCAATGTTAAACGCAATGTGAGATGCAATCTTAATTGGAATTGTTCAATACATTGTTTTAAGCACAGGTTTGTGCAACACACTTGATAGCTTAATTATCCGTGATGGAAAATGTACTCCGCACTGAAGACGATCTTTGCAAGGGGCTATATCGGAGATTACAACATATACCCCGACTCTCTTCAGAGTATGTCATTGGAAGGTCCAACTGAACATCTTTCGTCTTCCAAGGTTTCTGTTCACCCTTGCCGTTCTATCGCCCAATGCCTTTGAGAAAGTTCGAAGTCGGAAAGTCTAAGGCGTTACATTCTCAACAGTAGGGCTAGCACATATCTCAATTGTATGAACTCTGATCTGACTTGCCGTGTCAATCCACCAGCAAGAATCCCAAAACAGTCACTGTCTGACTTTCTTCCAAGGTCAAGGTTGCTATCCACACTGCGAGCAAGGCACACATCCACAACACACGGACCATTCGACCACTACCCAAATTCCCCGCGACAACATCCACCTGAACCGCACATCATGCATTTGCAGCTGCCTAGATCCTCATTCCGACCTGCAGCTTTGTGGATTTCCACACGGCTGACGGCATTGTCAACGTTTCAGAGCCGCATCTTCTCGTTTCCAGGGTTTCATTTTTCCTTGACTCGGGGAGATCCACATCCTGTCCCCAACCCTTTCCTGGTACCCAACCATGTCGCATAATTGGACATCAAGGCAATGTTTTGCTCCTTCCAACTCCACTGTGGACCTACCATGAACCTTGGAAGTGCATCGATCTCCTTCCGGCCCAATTGTTGAATCCGATAGCGAATCGGACTGGGCATGGACCCTTCCCACCAAAGAAAAGCGATGCTTGGGATGCATACCATCGACGATTAGCGTCAAGCCACACGATCGATCAAAGAAATGCCTCCCCCACCAAAATATTTCATCCGAGTTCTTTCACTGAAATATCACCACACCATTCGACCGCAAACTCTACGTGAATATGGCCAAGGTCGCTCTCATCACCGGTGGCAGTATGATCCCTTTTCACAACCCTCGCACGGATGGTCGATCATTCATTAACCAAACTTTAAAATAAACAGCCAGTGGAATCGGGCTTGCAGTTGCCAAGGACCTGATCCAGACCGGCAGCTGGCAGGTCAACATTATCGGCAGCAACGATGAGCGAGGCCAAGAAGCAGCAGCTTCCCTCCCCGATGTCACATTCTACCAAGCCGACGTGCGAGATTACCAACAACTAGCAACTGTATTTGACCAGATCTTCAATGCGACTGGCCGATTGGACTTTGTTTTCGCGAACGCCGGAAAAGCAGACTACACCGATTTCTTCGCTGAATCCGAGACCGGCATCCCGCCCGAACCAAGTTCCGAAGTTGTCGATATCAATTTGAATGGCGTTCTATATACCAGTTACCTTGCGATGCACTATTTCCGTCGCTCGCCGGAGTCAACGAAAGGGCATAGAAATTTGATACTCACGTCGAGTATCGGGGGGCTATATCCCTGCATGTTAACCCCGGTATACTCCGGTACTAAACGTGGGTTTAGAATATACAAATTAAACAACTCTCCTACAAGGCATAGCTAACAAATTTTCAGATGCGCTTATTGGCTTCACTCGTTCTGTCGGAGAGCGACTTTGGGAAGAGGGAGTCCGGGTTAACGCTTTGTGCCCTGGGGTAGTGGAAACGCCCCTCTTAGCCGCTGAGAAGTTTTACACGATCTTCCCGCGCGAAATATTTATCCCTATGGACGTCGTAAGTGGTGTAGTATCACAACTACTGTCTGGGGAGGATATGGTAGACGCCAAAGGGATGCGCGTCGCTGGTGATGAGATGCATTCCCGGGCTGTTCACGTTTCAGGAAAGAGCTTCCTTTTTATTGAAAAGCCCGACATTTATGATGAGCAGACTCGGATAACTTGGGCTGCAATGATGGGGCATAAATAAGTCTGTGTGGGTTTCATTACGCTAGTTTGACTACTTTATGGCCAAATGTTAGAACAATACAATTTCTAGACTAGACCATTGTATGTCCGTCCATGTGGAAGGCGTCTAGCGCACATAATCACCTATATCAAACCAATAGATCTGATCCCCGCCATCCCTCGCATCCCATACCGCGGACAAGGAGCGCCTAACTTGAAGCTGCGATTGCCTGGAAAAGGTCACGACTTTATGGATCTTGTCAACGACTGCTGCTCGTGCTTCAGTCCGGGTGATTTCAAAGCACGCAACCGTGTAGGGGAGTGCTGTGCATGGTATTGAACGCCCTGTCGATTGCAAAGCCATATCAATCTCCGCAGTAATAGCGTTGGACAACTGCAATGCTTCCTTGTCACGTTTCCCATAGGGATGGCGTAGACGATGTGCAATAAGCAAAGCCGCAAGACGGAGGATCTTGGCCTGAGCGAACATTCCAACAACCTCAGACTCAGTAAATTTTTCAACAAAGTCCGGTGGAGGCGAGAGTTTCCATTGCTCCAGAGAATCCTGAATCATATCCAATCGTTCACCCGTCCCAATATCCATTCCCCCACCAGTAATTTTCATCAAATGACCAACCTCGCAGAGATCATATAAATGAGCAAAAAGCGACGAGCTAAGCCCAAGATACCGATCAACAACATCGCAACGATCACGTTCCCCGATGCGGATAGTCGGCACCTCAGACCGAACCAGACATTCAAAAGTCTCCGTACTAACCAAACACATCAACATATCCATAACACCATGATCCATCGCTAAAAGAGTCCGATAAACCGGCTTAACAAGCGCCAGCGTATAATGCGATATAAGAAGCGGCTGTCCATCGACAACATGCATAGCGAAGGTCACTATAGCCACGCCGAGCACGAGTGCAGTAACCAGATCCTGTTTCTCGGATATCTGCAAGGACCGCAGTCCCGAAACAGCGAGCGCAGCTCGTCGGTGCCCCACTTCGACGCTTGTCTTTGTGTATTGCGCATATTGGTCACCGAGTAGTACTGCGGCACAGGCGACTGTGGCGTCTTTTAATATAGATGTGGGGGCGGGTCGGAGAAGGTTCTGCACGAAGAAACGGTGGTGCGACTCGTGGAAGCTCGGTCCAATTAGGAATTTGTCTAGTGGGGATGGTGCGACGATGTCTTTCATAAGATTTAGGAAGTGTCTTTCCCACTGGTCTAATTCGGGGAATAGGGCTGGGTTGCTGGATAAGCCTTTGTCGAAGGGGAGGTAGAAATCGGGATAGGGGGTGTTGTTTTGGGTGACTGAGCTGAAACTAGAGGTTGGAAGATTATAGGATAGTTTTCTTGAAATGCGAGGTTTTCGTCCGAGTTTCGCGAGATTTCGCGTCGTTTGACAGGTTTGATTTAATCGGTCACATCGCTCGCATGACGCTGTAGCACTCGGTCGTCGGCATTTTTCTTTCAGTGTGTGACATTGGTCGCAGGCTCGTTTTGGTGCGGGTGAGGACATCTCGGTTGGGTTTGAGCTGTTCAGTTCAGCGAATACGGTTGAAGGTATACCAATCTTAAGGCAAACTAATCTCAGGCATCAGTGTTATGAGATTATGAGGAGGGATCCTCATATCTCCCCCATACAAGGATAAATGTACGGAGGACCCCTAATAAACCCCAGATGATAAGGTCGGGTGGACTTGACTATTCCGCACAAGCGCCATCTTTTGCGGGGATCTCCCTGCAACACCATAGATTGCCGCTTTGGCGCGTGATCGCTGTATGTTGTAGATTCCTATCTATCTCTATCTGCTTTCACAAAACTCATGTTCAACATTCATAACTCTGCAATGCCTGATGCACATTTTTAAACTCGACCTCCTTGCAAACCCCCGGCAGGTAAAAGATCCCCCACGCCAAGAGAATAATCGCCGTCTGATAAAAGTCAAATGCATAACTGGGCCATTCATTGACCGTCATCATTCCATCGGGTCCCATCCCAAGCATTGTCAATCGCACCATATTGCGCCCCATAGCAACAATCGAAATCGCAAGACCAAACAACTGATTATACCGTTTCCAGTGAGGCATCATGAGCTGGGTGTTGGCGGATGAAGATCGTCCAAATCGAATACTCCAGAGGATATTCTCCGCCAAAGTGAACATCCAAAATATCATCTGGCATACATAGCTCGCCGTGAGGATCTTAGTTGCAGACCCAAGGAGTGTGATATTGTGGGTCAGAGCAACGATCACGGCACCGATGCTCTGGAGCAAAAGAAGGGTGATGTTGACAGAAAGGTAGATAGGGAGTCGAAGTTTAGCAGGAAGGAGACCCAGGTTTTCGGTCCTCAAACAGCGCATCATTTTCACTTGAGTGAGATTGACGGTCACCATGCATAGGGTTGGTCCGAGGAGAAGAAACACATATTGAGCGCCAAAGGCTCCAAAGTCATGAGCATTCGATGAGGAGAACACTCGCGCTCCAAGTCCCATTGCTTGAACTATTAATATGTCAGTGGGAAGATAGTTTAACATCGGACTCAGTTGTTCCTTACCCAGGGCTCCTATCAACATATAACTACCATCCCATGCCAGGGAGCGAAACAGACGGAGCGCATGGGCTGCAAAGAGAGCGCAGTATATACCAACACCAATCACCGCGGGAATCAAACTTGGTGTATAGGCATAGTAGTCGGTTGAAGACATGCTGTTCGAAAGAATGTATAAAAAATCAAAGGCGGATTTTGCTCTTGTAAATGTGAGTGAATGGTAATGAGATTAAGCATTGTAAAATCCAGATCCCCCATAGCATTTATAGCAGAACCATATTTAGGAGTCCGCGAAGGCAGTCTCGATACACAATAATCGGCCACTAATTTAATGCAGATCAGTTGCCAAGAAGTATCCACTGCAGAACCTTTATGGCAGCCTATTGACCCTTGGAATATCTTATTTCTACAACATACATCTTAATTTTCAGGCAGGGCAATTGTGTGAAACCTCGGGTCGGGTTCGGTTTCGGATTCGGGTTCGGAAATGTTAATCTACCTTATTTTCTATTTTTCGCCCCGTTGCCCAAGGCAGAAACAATTTAGATGAAATTGATTTGTGCTTAATTTTGATGGCGCCTTATCAAGCTATGCATTCTACGAGAAGGAAGGTGGGGACACCACCGAACATGTTAGTTAGGTCTTGGATTAGCAACCCACTTTAACCTTCTTTTTCAACAATTGCAGATCAGCCAGTCAAACGTGGGATTACCCCCTCTTTCTAATTAAAGGTATATTTAATAATACAATGATCAATGCACGTTCCAGCCGTCTAAGAAAATTAAAAAAATTAGAAATCAACCTCAACAGTCCAGATCATCTGCCATACGCCTCCAAACACCTTCAGGCAGTCTTCCATGAACCCAATAACCACCATCCTCCCCATCTGGGCTCTGCGCTTTCCACGTCACCAACAAATCATCCAAGCGAGCTTTGGTCTCGCGCAGAAGTCCGCAGTAGTCAACACTGCCCTGTACAAATAGCGGAGTTTCACCTTGGACATCGAGATCATATAACGGCAGGCTTTTCCAAGAAGCGATGCGCGGTTGAGCCGCTCGGCTGCCGTATGATTTTGGAACCATGGGGCTCTTCTTTAGGCTCTTGTGCTGATTGACGATCTCCCCGATGCATTCTGGTTGCTGGCCCTCGTGAACCGCCCGTCGGATGTGCGTTGCGAGTCGAACCAATGAAGGAGTGTTATATTCGCTTGATGGTATTGGATCTGGCAGGGGCATCATGTACCAGGGGTTGTACAGGTTTGCCTCGGACTGCAGTTGTTTTGAGATATCGATGACTAGGCCGAACCTGTGGGCAGTAGGTGGATGCAAAGCAGCCTGTGCAAGGTACGGTGTCAGTCAACTTGTTCAATTTCAGGTTAACTGACTGCAATGTGGGGTTACTAACACTGTAGATAAAAGCTAACACGAGATCATGCTCAGTCACTTTAGCCTTTATACTTTCGGCCTCTTTCAGCCAGTTCTGGATTTGTCCTCGGGGGATAAACAAGGTCTTGCTGACCCGTCTCGCAGAAGGATAGCATATATCCCGCCCGATCTGTTTCCCGAGAGCCCCGATTCCGGCTACCCAGGTCCGACGCATCGAATGTTTGTGCAGGTCTGCGATCTGATGATACTGAATCTTCTCAATGCATTTTTCCAGCACTTCTGACTTCAGGAACAAGGGTGGTCGGCCATGGAGGGTGTGGGTAATTCGCTCCCCCCTAAGCAGGCTGCAATAAGCCTGAACTATTTGATGGGCGCCTATAGTCACGTTGTCAGTGCTACTGGTTTGTTGCTTTCTGGGACGTCAATTACCATTTGCATCGCAAAGGGGCTGCAGAAACTTGAACCCTATTATGCAGGCATCGAGCAAGAATACTGTTCGTATGGAGAAGACTCGCTGCTTCCATGCGTGCGAGATTCCATACCCGAAGTTTAATACCTCATCGAGTCCCTCGGAGTCAATCAGTTGTGGTGAGTCCGGTTCAGAGGAAATGTCGAAAATCTCGCTCAGTTCTTGTTTAAGAGTTCTTCCTTCCCATACCTCGGCCAGGTCACCGGGGTCTTTTGGGTCCAAGAATTTTGTTTTCTGTTCAAAATCAGTCTTTGCACAACGGTTGATTTTACTGAATACCTACCAACGGGTCCATTCGCAGGTTAAGTACAGGCCATTGTGAGACGAGGGTATCGGCGGCGAATTGAAAGTCAAGCGGGCTTGGATTAGTTCTCACGACGACCGACAAAGTGAACTCGAGAGGTCGGCCATAGCCCATATCGAGTGGGCCTGGTTTCATGTTGAAAGCAATGAGTGGTGATTAAAAAGAACTCTATAAAATATAGCAAAATAGCGCAGGATGCAAAACTGCGCTTTATGGAATCTACCTGGAAGGATATATTAATAATAAAACAAGACAGGATCAAGACCGTTAGAAAAATAAACATGTTGTTATCTGTATGTTATCCCAACTTTGACGTCCCTCCCCACATAATTGCCGTCTGGAATGCACGCCTTGTAGATCTCCTCGAATGAGCTTCTGGGCATACATACTCAATTGGAAAATTCCGCACCATGGCAGAGACACCTCTGGAATGTTGTATGATACAGTTGGTTCCACACAGGCCTACTTGTCGCTCATAATTGCCCAAAATCAGTAGCTGTCTCATTAAAGGAAATTGGAAATGCGCTGAGAGGTAGTTCTGCACCAATCGCATGCTATTAGTCGATGTTTGTGGAAATATCAATTCCTTTCCTTCCCTATTTGACTAAAAGCCACAAATTCCAGCTTAATCCAATGTTAAGTATGATGTTGAACTGTTATCCTTATTATAGATAACCAATTGTTGATAGAAGACATACCCACGAGCAATTCCCGTACAAAGACATTTCAGGACAGAAATTGTCAGTATTCAGCACACATGATCATCATTTGAGCTCTTATTAAGGTCAATAGTGGGAATTGAGATATATTTAATGATCTTTTCTGGACTCAACGGCTTGTTGAGCGAGCGCCTTTCACGGAGGCACCCGGGAAAAGTGTTGACCGCGGAATGTCTAATTTGACCGATTATAAGCAGCCCGACCTAGGTTTGATTGTAGTCCAGAACGAGTACTTGATTTCACCCTACGGTTGAACATTTACATTGTGATTTGGTAGGAAAGTGCTAGTCTCAAATTGGATAGCAGGAAGCCTAAACTTGAATTGGTATTAAGGAGAGCAATGCTATCCAGGAAGCAGATGTGATCGAGATCCGTTCGGCATGACCTTGATCCGTTCAGCTTGACGAATAAAATCCAATATCTGGGATGGTTTAATCCATCTTCAATCTATAGGCACATGGGAATTCAAGTTGCTACGTCGTCTCGTTAGCTAGGGAGGGCATGAAGCGGTGTGCATTAACTTGCATGCAAACTTGAATATCACCCCCTTCGTCATTAATTATGATGTATTAAGCGAGGTTGGTCCATTAGTGTTTCGATAGTTGAGATATAATGTTCGACATATTAATCACTGTATTATTTTGGCCTATCAACATGGCAACACCTGCACTACCTTTCCCACACCAACCAATATCAACTTGAAAAATACATTACGATCATTTATTCTCTGTCTATACGGAGTAAATTCAACTTCGCTATTCTTTAAACAATCTAAATGGCTGGTCCGTGGGTTCTCTCCTAGTGTGATAGATCAACTGCATCCGCCTCTTAGCTGCAGATCTGCATGCGCCCGAACTCGGATTTCATTGTCATCATCGAAGTTCCAGCCACAAGATCCAATAGATAAATATTTTAACCTGCTTATATCTGACCTGAAGGCTCCTGTGTGTGAGTTTGCAGTATTATATATGCCCTTTCATTCTGTATGTTTTTGTTTTACACACCAAGGCGGAGATTGGAGATTCAAAGCGCATGATCCATCATGATATGGGACTATTATAATGGCAAGACGCTGTTCATTACCGGGGGTACAGGCTTCATCGGAACTGCGCTTCTATGCCGACTTTTAAGTCAGTCATCTCCGAAACGAGTATATGTGCTATGTCGGGGTGGCTCCGAGTAAGTGACCAAAATATATAACGGTCAAAACAACACTTACTGACTTGAATGACTAGTAAAGCAAACGCAAAATGGTCCGATATGCTTCCTCCCTCAGCCGCACAAATCCTCACCCAAAACGAGCGGATCACTATCCTTGACGGCGAAATGGGAAATACCGCGACGATGAATTTATCAGAAGAGACACTACAGATGCTGAAACAGACAGTACACATTGTGTTCCACGCCGCATCATCAGCCCAACTACACAATTCCCTACGAGAGTTAGCATATACTGTGCTAGCACCGAGCATATGTCTCACACAGTATGCCCTAAAATTTCCGAACCTCGAGCGCTTCGTATTTTTCTCAACTGCATATGCCAACGCCCATCTATGGAAAGCCCAGGAATCGCCCGACGCATCAGTCGACGAGAGAATATATCCCCTTGGCAGGGAGGAGGAAGACTATTACAAAATCGCACTCGAAGCATGGAGCGCAGTACAGAAAACTGGCTCGTCTGACGAATACAACGCCCACGATTTCCCATGGCCATACGCATACGCCAAACATCTCGCCGAGCGATTAGTCCTGCAAAAAGCAGCCGAGCGCAACAAAATGGACAAAGTCCTAATCATCAGGCCGTCTGTCCTCGGACCAGCCGATAAATTCCCATACCCCGGTTTCGCGACCTTACACGGAGCCCCCTTGACAGCCTGTGCAGCGGCGTACATGTTACATGCAGGTCGGCGAATCAAGCTCTCAACGCGATGTGAAAATCCAAATCAAGAATCCACGATCGATGAGGTTCCGGTTGATGTTGTGGTCGATCGAGCATTGGTCCATGTGGCGCTGGGAACGAGTGGATGTGTTCATGCAGTTAGTGGGGAGCAGGGCCGGTTATCGACTGAGGAATTGTGGCGTGCGTTTAAAAAGGAGAGACGGCTGCCATGGAATGCGAAGCCGTCGTGGACTTCTGATGACTGGAATTCTCCGAATATCCATCATATGGCTCGGCGGCTCAAGATTATTGGTACTTCTTTTGCATTCTCACAGGAACGGACTGTTAGGGCTGCTGAGAAGCTAGGCGCTGAGGAGAAGGAGAATCTTCAGTTGTTTGCTGATCGGTCAAAGCCGTACTCTCTGCATTTGAGACGACATCATATTTATCATCAAGCCGTCGAGGTGGCTAAGAAGAAGAGGTGGCCTTTGTGCTCTGCTAGGCTGCTTTGTCGGAAAGGAAAGCCTGTGGCTCACCTAGATAAGAATGGAAATAGAAAGGCATGAATGCGACGATCCCGGGAGAGTTCTCGAATCGCGTGATGCTTTCGGTGGAAAAGGTTCAAGTAAGAGCAGTGACCTACAAAGTATAAGATAGTTATATTGAGATCGTATTCTAACCATTGATTATTATGTATAGGTCCAAGTGGTGCCAGCCCCTAAACCACTAAGGTCTACACGAAGCACGAAGTCTATCAATCTCTAGCCTATCACACTTGATGGAAAGAATTAGGTGAAGTTAGAGGACCATGAGGCCTAGCTAGTAGTATCTAGAACTTTGAAATACCTTAAACCTCCGTTTATTTGCTATCTCTTAGCCTAGCCTACTTACTAAGAAGTACTTCCTACTAACCGACCCGTGAACTTTTTATACAAAAGAATACGGACCCTCGTAAGCGAGGGCTAGTTAGCGGCTAAATATATAAAAAGTTTTAGTCTATTCACCCTTCTATTAACCTAGGATTGTGAAGCTAATTTATAGCGGTGAAGTCCTCCTACGCTAGTATAGATATAGTATTCAAGCGATTCGCTATATCACTAAAACCGGTTTACGACTACCGGCGCTATTAATAACACTCCCATACCCTGGTTTAGATATAGACGGTGATATGGGAAGTACTTCTTGATGGATCATAGACGGTGATAACTATAGGATACTTCCTGGTCTATGCAGTGCGCGCTAATCATTTACAAGTAACCAACTACCACCTATGAAGATTGAGGTATATTTAGTGCAAATGAAAAGGTTACCACCGTAGTTTGAGGATGACATAATTGTAATTTGACGACTCAACTAAGATTGGCAGTAAGAGAGAGAGAGAGAGAGAGAAAAGTAAGAGAAAAGTAAGAGAAAAGTAAGAGAGAGAATGAGGTAAGAGAGAAGTGAGAGAGTATGTATTTAGCTCTTGCCTCTACCATGAATGATGTCCGATCCCGATTAGGGCTAAAAGTACTCTCCGCAAGTCAAACCATTGGAAGCTTCCTGCCTAGTTCTTATCTCCTCTCTTCTTTCATCCACCCCCAAGTCGTCACCTATCTTTGCACTTCATCATACGCTGTCGAAATCATACAAATCATCGAAAGAACATCAGGGCCCTGTCTTCTCCCGACAGAACACGCATTTTCATTACTCAGGGTAATCTCTATATTGAAAGCTTGCGTTCCAATGGACCTCTCCCATATGATGACTGCTCACCTGGCGACTGCCACTGAAGACGAGAAGCTTCGGTCGTTATGCGATGAGCAAAACAAAGTTGGAATGCAAAACTGCCTTTCCTCAGAAACCCCACTAGGCAGATCTTCCGAGCCTTCTAGCCCCGGCCCACTCACTATCACAAATGTCGAAGAGCTCTGTAAACGTCTAGAAAAGCACAAGAAGGAACTGGTGGACCTGGTAGAGGGCCTGATACAACACACCGAGAAGGGAGACAAAGAAGGAACTTGGAAGTTTGCTCTCGCTGCAGTGAAGGAACTGCAATTACTACCTCGAGCCAACCAACCTATTGACAGCCTCCCAATCGGTAAAATGACGTACGAAGATGTTGAAAAGTACTTCGGTCTTGAGCCGCAACGACCTCTCAGAGGTACTTCCTGGGAAGGGCCCCTTCCACATATCCAGCTTCCGCAGTGTGCCTGTGAGTTAGTTTCTCCCTAGTGACTACCATTATTCTCCACAACTAGGTACTGACCACTATTAGACCAAATGCTTGAGATATTCGATAAATTCGCTCGTCGATCTGTGAAGAACGAGGCCATGATCCGCTGTCGCCTGAATAACATTCTGTTCGCTGTTCTTGACAGCGTCATGACATCGGCTCCAGATGACACCCACCCACTTAATTTACAGACCGAAACTCACCTTGTATCACGCCCATTCCAAGTTGGAGGCAAGTACTGTCAAGCGCAGGGCCAGTGCGATTATACCGTGTGGTACGGCGAGGAAGTCCGTGAACAAGCGATCAACCTGGTGATTGTGGAAACAAAACGTCCTGGACACGTGAGCCTAGGGGAAGGACAAGCACTTGGTTATATGGGTAAGCGCCTAACGCCTCGAAATCACCTTGAAAAGTACTGTCTGACCAAGCTTCCAATGACTAGCTGTTGTTCACCAAGAACGAAAATTGAGCAAGCGAGCACGGAACGCGACTGTGTATGGAGTGGCCACCGATGGAAAAACATTTTACTTCTTGTGTATCAATGATGAAAGCAAGGTATGGCAAAAGTTCCCTCTTTTTCACCTATATGCAACTGGCTAATTTAATCAAAGTGGGATCGGATTGTGCTTGACACAGCACAACTTGATGCAGTCGTCGACCTGTTAGCATTTATTATGAAGGAGGCCATGACGATCTCACCCTTTACTTCCCGCCACACTTCCAAGAATGCCTCCATGGAAGATGATCCTTTAGTTCTGAGCTGAACGGTTTTTCCTCTGGCCCAAGCCGCCCAACTATGGCTTGGTAAACTTTCTCTGCGGTTTCCGGAATTGCTGTATTGCTAGATGAACATTGGTTCTGCTATCTATATCATTAGCCCCTGATAATTTTGAATGAAACCGAACTTTTTCCTTGCTGCTGAAAGCTTGCTTCCCTATCAAACCAAACTCGCTACACAGAGAAAAAGAAGAAATTCCGTAGGTTGGTTAGTGGTGTGTAGGAAGATTGAAGAGAAGAGAATAGAAAAGGAAGAGGGGTAGTAGCAAAAGTACTATCCGGGACCATTACTGGTTGTTTTATCTAAAAATCAGATATAAAAATATAACATTGAGACAGAAATTTTGGGATCGATAATCCGTTGATATAGATCTAACCTGGCCCAGCGCACGGACCACCCGATCGACCGCGGGGGAAAAAGAAATTCTTCTCCGCCACCAAGTCACAGGCCTAACCAACTCATCATGGCACCGACGGTGTGTTTCGACTGCAAAGAGGCGCGAGCCGTCATCATCCGACCTAAGAACAGGCGCAAACTCTGCCGTGCCTGTTTCATCAAAGTTTTCGAGACCGAAGTACACGAAACCATTATCGGCACCCACCTCTTCTTCCCCGGCGAGCGAGTAGCGATCGGAGCCAGCGGCGGCAAAGACAGCACAGTACTCGCAGCGGTACTGAAAACCCTCAACGAGCGATATAACTACGGACTGGATCTATGTCTTCTGTCGATCGACGAGGGTATCCGCGGTTATCGTGATGATAGTCTCGAGACTGTGAAGCGCAACGCAGTGCAATACGACATGCCACTTGATATCTTGGGATATAGCGAGCTATATGGCTGGACGATGGACCAGGTCGTGGAACAAGTGGGCAAGAAGGGTAACTGCACATACTGCGGTGTGTTCCGTCGGCAGGCGCTCGATCGAGGCGCTGCCCGCTTGGGCATCAAGCACGTTGTCACGGGCCACAATGCAGACGATGTTGCGGAGACCGTTATGATGAATCTCCTGCGTGGTGATCTGCCCCGTCTGTCGCGTGGCACTAGTATCATTACTAGCTCCGACGCTTCGGATATCAAGCGCAGCAAGCCTCTCAAGTACGCTTACGAAAAGGAGATCGTTCTTTACGCCCACCACCGTCAGCTCGACTACTTCACCACCGAATGTATTTACTCGCCTGAGGCATTCCGCGGTAGTGCCCGCACCCTCATCAAGGATCTTGAGAAGATTCGTCCCAGTTCGATCCTCGATATTGTCAAGAGTGGCGAGGACATGGCCGCGCTTGTGCCGGTGGAAGTGCGTGGCGCCGGCCAATCCAAGCAGGGTGGTGCGGAGGAGGAATCAGCTGGTGGTTGTGGGAGTCAAAATGGCCGAACCAGCGGAGGAGAAATGGCTGCAATGGAGAAGCAGCTCACTGAGAACGACGCGGCTGAGTCGCTCGAGACTGAAATCAAGCTTCCTACTGGTGGACGCGTGAAGCCGAATCGCGGCCCGACGGGTAAGGCTGTCAAGGCGCAGACTATCAAACACTGCGAGCGCTGTAACTACATTTCCAGTCAGCGGATTTGCAAAGCGTGCACGCTGCTAGATGGTCTCAACCGCAACCGACCCAAGACTGCGATCGAGGTTGGGGTTGGCATGGAAGATGAAGAAAGCAGTTCAACTTTGATGAGACAGATGGAGCGCGCCCAGCTTAGTGCTACCTGAAGAGTCAATCTGGGAAGCACGTCTATTCAAAAGCCCAACCCTCAGCACCAGCGTCCTCGGGGTTCTGGGCATCTCCATCATGGCCCTTTTGCTAGGCCATCGCCTCTGCAACACAATCACACCCAGTGTCAACATCAGGTGTCCATTCTCGGTGCCCCAAACACTGTGCGGCAACCCACGTGGTTCGCAATGAACAAATTTTCAGATCCAGGAGGATCTCAATATCAGATACCCCAAGTTACGGCTAAAACATCATTCCATTGCATCTTCATCCAGAGTCAATGCATAGCATACAGAGAGTTTCAAAAAATGAACAAGTTCACGCTACTTAACTGTTCTCTATTTTATTTTATACATAAAAACCCGTAGTATACAAACCCCAAAATTCAACAATAACAACGCCATTCCATGGAATATATGCATCCCAGCAAAATCACATTATCTGCACAGACAACTTTCAACCAAGCCTAGCGCAATCCGCCTTTTCCGTAGAATCAGAATGCGGATCGTCCATCACTTGCGTCCACTGACAGAACAAGACGAACCATGCAAAGCCAAGTAACGAGCAGAACAATATCAACAATCCTGCTCTGCTCAGCTAATCCACACCAGCTTGGAACATCGCAATCCCTCCAACGAACCCAACTACTCCTTCTCAGGAACATGCAACTCAGGCAAATCAAACCCAACCCGTCTAGCCGTAAGACGAATCTTCTCCTCCTCATCCATACTCATACCAGGGTTATAGCGCTCGAGGAGCTCAGAGTAGACGCGCTGGGCGCGGGCATATTGAGCGAATTGATCTGCTTCTTGGACGCGGAGGGTGCGTTGTTCATCTGTTTTTGGGATTGAGAATGGGAGGGTGTTGGATTGCGATTCTGATTGAAATGCAGATGTGGCCGGTGTTGAGCGGAAGACTGCGCGTAGCTGTTGGTGGAGTGGGGAGGGTGTGGTGAAGGAGCGGCGTGGAAGTTCGCGGAGGAGGGCGCGATAGGTTGTGCGCGCTTGATTTGTTGCAGACATTTTGAGTGTGTGTGTAATGCACGGGGGTTTGGTTTGTTTTATCAGGTTGATTGGGTTGGTTTTTAGGCCCTGGTGCACCGGGGATTTGGAGGTGAATTTGTTCTTTGGTGTTGATGCTGCTCGGAGGTTGGGATAGCCGGGTGGATAACGAATTCACGTGATCTGTAATGTATGCGGCGTCCGTTATCTCGTGGTCCTAGTTTCAACGCTGTTTCACATGTTTGTTATGTGACTACGATTCTATTTGGTGAATAGAGGATACAAGGAAATAAATACATAAACAGGTCAATATATACCAGGGTAAGATTCTGCTATATGCAAGACGGTCAATGACCATCACTACCCACACCTCAGCACGCATATGTACAAAATGTCGTAACGGAGCTTTTTTTTAAAGATGCATCACCGTTACAAGCGTCATCTCGACCCCCGCGGGGACCTAGTTCATAACGAAAAGCAGGCAAAAGACAACAACAGTATTTATCAATCATATAGGGGCGTAGCGACATGAGAAAGGAAGAGTAGAGGAGGAAAGAGGGAGGTAGAGGTAGGTAGGGTAGAGAGGATAGGTAGGGAGGCAGAAGTGAAGGTGTTTGACGAGATGATTGTGTGAGAGAGAAGCCTTGATTCGTGTTGAGGTTGAATGAAACCAGTGCCCCAAATTACCAGAGGCGTGGCCGAAGAAGCGACTGGATTAAGAGCGCAACCAGCCAAACTTCCTCCGTCCCTCGGCTCCCGTGGACGGTTCGACGTATAAGCTACGAGCATACAAGTCCTAGACAACGTTAATAGGAAGAACAATGATTCGCGATAACAAAGATCTTACCTCTTCGTCTCCAGAGAGCTTTGAATCCAGGATCAGCCGCTCGACATCGTCGAACTTCTGAGCCTGGGGATGAGGGCTCTTTTGGCTTCGTTGGATGCCGAGAACAACCTCACCCATGACCTCAAATTTCTTCCAGTTGATGCGAGATTTGTTCTCGCCGAGAAATGTCTTGTTGCCTTCTTCGGCGGAGACAAGGTCGCGGCGGTGGAGAGGTAGGAATGGGATTCGCTCTGAGAACGAATTCTCCCAGGCAAGACGGTAGGCAAAGTGGCTTCGTTGGGTGCTCATAAGAATGACCAAACGCATAAATTCTTTTTGAGTTGGGATGGGGATCAGGTCTCGAGTTTGTGTGAGGCGGTGGACAGGGGTGCCGTTGATGGCGGCGATTACGGCACCCAAGGAGTTGTAGTTGTTTTGGCGTCGGAGTTTCTGGGAAGAGGTGTTAGTGACTGCTGACCGACCTAATGGTAGCTGGATTGAGAATACATACCACTGCAATGTTCATGAACTTCTCTAGCGCCTGCGCTCTATGCTTGGGCTTATCGCGCAAAAGGATCAGGCTGGCTACGAAGAAAGCCAGATGATTGAATTGCTTGATCATCCGATTAACGTTTGTCAAGCTCTTGACCTTATCCTTGTCGACGCCCGAGAGGCTGACATGACGCACAAGATCACGCGGCCGGAACGAGTTGTACATGATCCAGTCAACCCGCGTCAGTTCTCGTGCGAACTCCTCTTCTGGGGTCTCCATGAAGATCCGCCACTGGAGTTTGCCAAGTGAAGTCTTATGAGTTAGTTCAAGACGCAAAGCCTCTTTTTGGGCTGCATCGAGACTCAACAACGTGAATGACTGGCTGGTAATGCTGTTCGATTTGTCGGGATTCGAGGAGACCGAAAGAGTGCCCGAGAGTCGTGATGTCGAATCATGCGGCCCACTACTGAGATCCAGTGCACTCATACTATAGATGGGGTCTTGTTCTTCTTCGGTGTCGTAAGAGTTAGTGCCAGGGCCAGCACCAGTGAGAACCGCTGCCGGAGAGCTTCGGCCGGAGTTGTCGAAGAATGTCTCAACCAGTTGGGGCTCCTCGGAATCACTGTCACCCCCATATGCCCAGCCAATATCGTCGTCTTCTGCATTCGAATCTAATTGTGACCCGATCTCTTTCGCAGCAAACATGTAGAAATGGCTCTTTTCGAGTATAGCGACAAAGTCAATGATCCGTTTGCGAAGTTTGGGATGAGCGAAATCTCCAGGATAGTCCGAGGCCCATTGAGCCATGACATCGAGCAATCGCAGCTGATCCGCCATGCGGGCCAGTTGATCTTCGTTGCCCATCTCATTTCGCTCGAATCGGCTTATCAAGGCACTTAGGAGACTTGCGGGAGCAGCGAACTTTCGGTACAGGCATAGGAATGTAGAACGGAACTTTTGGTCTTGTTTCGACAGCGGCAGGGAAATCAAACGATCGACTAGCTCATCGAACGATAGGCCCGTCTCGGCGCTTGAGTTGCTCTCGCTGCTTGGCTTTGGCCGCACAACTGCGCTAGGGCTCGGGGGCCGGCTCTGCTCATCATCTCCCTCGTCGTCCATGTTCAAGAAACTGTTGAAAGCGTCCGATCCTCCACTGTGTCGCCAGGCGTTATGCAATCGTTGCTGACGGCTATCGTGATCGGGAGAGTTGAGATCTTGTGCCGACGGTCTGTGGGTATTTAAACGCGCTCCGGATGGCGGAGTTTGCGGTCGCACCGGTTGCGAGTTACTGCGGGCATAACGGTGGGAATTGGACGTGTGCTGCAAGTGGTTTCCATCGGTTTCGAGAGGGCTGTCACCATCCCCGTCGACCCATTGATCTGAGGCTTGTGGACCGCCGGCTGTGAGCACGGCTGAGGGGTTTTCGGAGTTGGCACGGGTATGATGCCAATCGTGGGAAGATTTGACTTCCGGTGAATCAAGAAGGATATTAGAATTATTGGAGAGATCTAATCCAGAAGAGAGGGGTTAGAAGGGGGAAACCAAAAAAAGACGAGTTCTATGGGGAATCACAAGGTAGCGAACGCTCCTACCGCGACCCACCTTGGCCCGCTTCCGCTTGGGGGGGTCAAGGCACACTTCCAACCCGACAATGATTTTGTGTCAAAGAGACCACAGGGGAAAAAAATTTGCTCACCTTCTCGAGTAGAAATCACTGCCCCCAAAACCAACGCTATACACATGCGTTGAGATCGCGGCGAGGAAAACGACGTTCGATAGATCTCATATCGATCATGAATCGCATCCACTTCGTTGTCTTCCAAAGGTTCGGGGTTGACATCGCATTTGCAGGCAACCTGCAAGAAAGGAAGATCCGAGGCAGCCAATGAGTCTAAATTCCGGAAAAAATCAGCCCCCATACAAGGTACCTCCCGGTATAGTTTAGACAAGAGCCTACCAATGAGATTCGTTGTTAAAGAGAGTCGATCCGGCTTTGTGGCATCATGTAGAACCAGAACCCCGTCAATGACTGGCGCAGATTTGTCGCGCCCTGCACGCGGCCAGATAATCTTCTTGTCCTGATCGAATTGAACCTGTGTCAAGTCGACTTCCATCAGATGCACAATATAGACCGATCCGTTCAATGACATTTTCTTCTTGTTCATAGGGGAGACAGGCGGGTTCTTCATATCTAGGGCGCATTTGACAAAGCTGGACTTGCCGGCGTTTTCTTCGCCGGCCACTGCGATGGTCACTTCGGGGAAGCCGCTCTTGGAGGATTCCTATAGAAAGGGGAACAAGGAACCGTCAGTAATCGAAGCTCTCTGTACACCGTAGCCATAAAACGCTTGGGATTCTGGGTCAATTCAATACTTACACCTTCCTGATGACTGAATCGCGTGTGCTTGATTGCGTCGCCTGTAATTGGCGTCCCCTCATCCTCCTCCAGCAATGTTTGTCCGATTTGCGTCCCCGATCCCGTCTTCCGCACCACATCGAGTTTATAAAGGCCCCCGGCCGGGGCTGAAGAAGTTCGACCTCCCATGCCTGGTCGTTGTGAAGCTGTAGCGGTCATTTCTTGAGCTTTGTCGCTGTGAGCTCTCTCTCGGCGAGATTGCTGCGAGATCATGACGGAAGCGGTCGGCAATTCTTGAGGCCACGGAATGGACCGGTGTGACAGCGCTCTGAGGACTGTATAAGTTCAAAGAACTAGCACTGCAGCGCATCCATCATTGGGACAGTTCAAGTTCGGTAGAGCAGCGAAGCAGCCATCCGAGAAGTGTTATCAAAATGACGGCGGAGTTAACTTGAGAACTACCCTAATTAGCCGGAGCTGCGTCGGATATCTTGGTCTTGGCAGTGACGGGGAAGAGAATTGATAAAGCAAACAGATAATATGGACAGATCACAAAGATTAAGGAAGATGAAATTGGGTTGAGATCATCTTTTTTTTTTAATTTTGGGATTCTCGCATTTCATTGGAAGCCTAGGAGATCGTCGTGTCCATGAAAGCGGCTCAGCTGAACTCGACACATGGTAATATCCCAAGGTCTCAAAATGAGTGGCCACTAGAACCGAGGCTGGGTCTAAGATGATCTCGCTTAGTCGACGGGTCTACGACGTCGCGTTATGTTCTAATAAACTGGTATTGCTTGACTATAGCTGCAGGAGCTGTCTTGGCTGCCGCGTCATTCCCTCCCGTTGGAAAAGGGTTGTTTGTCTTTGCATACAAAGTAGCCCTATAGGTCTAACAACATACAGGGCACTGCTAGTCCTGCTCATCTGATTATATCGCGAGATGCTCCATGTGACTAGTCAGAAACATGCAGATTCCGAGTTTTCAGTACTTTAGTACTTTTTCTACCGAAATTTTGGTCTTTGAAGTTCTGGACCATTAGCATATGCTCCGCTTTATTGGGGGCGCTAAAAGCGCCGCTAAATCTGACACTATGTAGGACTTCGGCTGCTGGTCTTGGCTCGCATGCGAACGTTGTACGCTGTATCTGTACTCCGTATGTGGTGCTATATTGCACTCTGTGGGCCCTGAACACCTTACAATGTAGAGCTAATGCCCGGCGCTTTGATCTACTGGTGCGCTTATCGGCAGTCCCTAGAGCCGGTAGTATGCACTAGAGATTCATAAAAAAATCACGGAGGCCGAAAATTCGTGAGTTGCATGAGGCTGAATATAGCTGAAGCTGTCAAATCTGACAACTACTCTATTGGAACAGTGAAGGTAGATCAAAAAGCGCCACTCTCTTGTAAAATCTGCATGTCTCACTTACACGGACCCAGCATATAAATGTGGTGCAATCAAGGTATATGTGCCGATCGTCCAACTCGCATGTTGTTTCTCACCAGAGAATGGTTGTAGATGACTTAAGCTGAGTCTGAGTCCTGGCCCTTCTTGACAAGCGCCATAAACCGCATGAAAGCCTCGGCGGTCTGGCCAGTCTCCGTCCCTTCCTCACAATCCTGCCTTAGCTTGCGGACTCTGCCCAGGCCACGGTTGAAGCCTTTCTCGGACGTCCATGGGCCACGGCTACGAGGAGTAGACCCTCCACGACCTCGCCCGCGGCCACGCCCACGTCCTCGTGCAGGGGCTGTGTACGATTCCACCCATTCTTCTTCCAGCGTCGACTGGTACATATCTTGTAGCTGACTGCGGAGTTCGGGGTGCTGGCTGAGAAACTCTTTCATCTCCGCCGATGCCGCCACTGCTGCAGGGGTCATCGCGGGAGCGCTGCCGGTTGGCCCTGTAGGTTCAGTGCCGTTGGTATCATTCTCGGGTGTGGGAACGGCATTGGGCGCCGGAGCGTTACTCGGTTCCTCATTCGATGGTGCTTTTGGAGCACAGTATATCTTATGTGACTGGGTGCATGCAAGTGAGCAACTAAATCGAGAACTCTTAGCAACTGGTCCACGTATGGATAGGGACGGGATCATAATCGTGTCAGTACCTCATCAGTGCGCATGTAGGACAGCGATATTTTGAGGGCTCTAAAGAGCAAACCTCACAGGAACCAGGCATTGTGTCGATTTCCCAATGAATCCATCAGCTGCACAGTGATCAAACTTGCTCCCTCATTTTTCACTGGTCCACGTCCTGCTTGATAATGATGCAGGATAAGGCTAGAAAAGTTGAGCTACCCGATTTGCATGATTTGCATGAAAATCTAAGAAGCTCGGGTCAACTATTTCTGCCTTAGGCACCACATATATGCGGGCACACGCGTGACAAGAAACTGCATAAATGCATGATGTACCATATATTTAGATCGAAAGGCTACACCATGTATGCAAAACGCGCAAAGGGGATGTCGGACTCTTCCCCCGGGACCTGGTTGGAACCTGGTCGTCCACGTCCAAAATTTAACCCCTGTCCAGTGTGACGAAACAAAGCATGAATGCATGCGATACATCAACGGCCACGTTCGCACAGGATACGTTGGGATCGTGTCTTTATCCACCATTTGGGGAGCCAAATCCTGACCTTCGCATAACGGCCACGACAATCACTTTGCGGGGATATCAACCCGGCCACCCGGGGACATACTAGGTGGATCCTGATCTCCCTTCGATTCGATACAACCCCGACGTGCAAATGCAGTTTGTTACAGACTAGCAATTGCCTTCCCGCTAATGTGTCCACAGGTTGATTCATGACTTGTCAAAATCATGTTGCCGCCTATCCGGAAGACACGACACCTTTGTCCAATTTGCGAGCAGGGCTAGTTACTAGATGGCATTCGGCCCACAGATCTGCAAAGTGTGATACCTTCACCATGCTGGCTCTTCGTCTAATACGACAAGGTATTTGGCCAAGTACCTGGTTTTTCTCACTATCTTCTTCGTGCCACCATAGCCCACTGAGTCCAACTCACCAGTGAAGCATCGGCGGCTCCATGTATTATATTCCGTTTGCTGTTCCATCGTCAAGTATCATCAAGGCACAACTACAAATTGTGTCAGACAAAGCGGCTACTTCTCTCAGATCAACATTCCTTTCAAAGCCAAATCAGAATTTCCATCACAAAGTCGCTGCCTACTGCTGCTGTCCGGGGATTCTGGACTGATCACTGGATCTATCAGTTGTGTGACGCGGTTGGAAAGCGGAAATATGCATACAAGTATATCTATCAACTATAGGAAAAAACACACCCATGGCATGATCGGTCCACTGAAGAGCACTTGTCATATTGTTAGCTATCCTTGAAGGATGGATTCATTCTTGTGTTTGTGGAATACGAGAGAATCTTGGTACAACGTGGTCCAATGTGGTATTCTCCCAGTCAGTTTCTCTTTGGTTTGAGCTCGATAACTGCATAGCTCAGATCTTAGATGCTGTTTTCGGATGCCGTTGAGTTTCCTTCCCGAGACAGGGCTGGATCACGCCTGTTATACCAGACAAATTCCATTCCAAATGCCGAAGCTAATCCTGATAAGTTGTGAGGCAAATTTCATGCCTAAACGATCTTCAGTTATGAGACTTTGGATTTCCACATTCTCAAAATATTGCCTCCGCTACCAGGCTAATGCTGGGAAGAAGCTTACTTCCCCAAAGCCCGATTGCGAGTAATATTGCAATCGATGATGATGCTCTATCTAAGTGTAGAATGAATCACAAAATTCTGTTTCAATATATGGTTTAGGATGGCAATTGGCCATGAACTACTGGTTTCTCAACCTCCGACAGTCGGCACATCCATAGTTGTAATTGTGCAAAACATCTCTTCTCATTGGCCGAGAAATTGTCTTCATTTGTCATCCGGCCATGATCTCAGATCACGTGAAATCAAATTGCGTCAGAGCGACAGCCGAAGAGACCCTCGAATGTTTTTTCTACAATTCACCTGTCACCAACTATCTTTGCACATTTCATCCCATAACATAATGTCTTTAAGCACACCATCTACAACAATGTTCCGCCGCGCTCTGCTAAGCAGCCGTCTGGCCACTCCCGTCGAGTGCTCCGCCCGAACAATCAGACCGGCATTCGCGCGCTACAGATATGTCTCAAGCGCAGCCCGACTCCCTACAATCACAGCATCAGAGACTCGTCGCCGACCAACAGTGCGACCGCACCAGCAGCCCGCCTCGCAGGGCGGAGTGAACGGCCTCTCCCCAACAAGCAAGCGCACCATTTTCATCCAGACCGAGAACACTCCCAACCCGGATGTAAGTTCTAAAGCTCAATTATCTTATCTTGGCAAAAGAAACCGAACTGACCTTTATCTCCCATAATTTAGGCCTTGAAGTTCATCCCCAACCACCGCGTCCTCCCAGAGGACTTCCCCAGCACATTCCTCGAGTATATGACCCCACGATCAACCCTCGCGCCGCCACACCCATCCCCGCTCGCGGCGAAGCTGCTCGATGTCGAAGGTGTCACATCCGTCTTTTACGGTACAGACTTTATCACAGTGACGAAAGGGAGCGACGCGAATTGGTCACACATCAAGCCGGAAGTCTTCAGCATCATCACGCAAGCTGTGACCTCTGGCGAGACGATCGTGACGACGGTCGAGGGTGCTATCGGCAGCGAGCAGGAGAGTGGCGAGGACTCACTTTCTTTTAACGAGGATGATGACGAGGTTGTCAGCATGATCAAGGAATTGCTCGAGACTCGCATTCGTCCTGCCATCCAAGAAGACGGTGGTGATATCGAATTGAAAGGATTTGAGGATGGTATTGTCATGCTGAAGCTGCGTGGTGCTTGTCGCACTTGCGATTCCAGCACCGTTACGCTAAAGAACGGTATTGAGTCTATGCTTATGCACTATGTACGTCCCTCCCCGCATTCCCGTTCCTTTGGTTTTGACAGAAGGGCATTTTGCTAACGTTGCTTTTCAGATTGAGGAGGTCAAGGGTGTTGAGCAGGCTTTGGATGAGGAAGAGATTATTTCCATGCATGAGTTCTCGAAGTTCGAGGAGAAGCTGCGCCAGCAGAAGGGCGCTGCTGCTACAGCTAGTGCGTCTTTGGACAGTGCGCCGTAAAATAGGTCCTTTGGAGCATATACCTTGTACATTAGTTTAACTTACAACTTCTAGAAATTGTTGTCACCGCTTCACTCTTTGAAACCCGCTAGACGGTATAAATGACCCGGAATATTAATACATACCACGTAGTACCCATGATACTGTACAGATATAAATTTCTAAACGTCTCGTGATTGTACGAGAATCGATCCATGGCACCTGCGCAGCTACCGAATGTTCCTCCTATGGAACCTTGGAAATGTAAACTATCTACCTACCTAAGGTGCAGGTAAACTGAAAGAGTGAAAGTGGCTAAATATCCCAGTGGCAACCTGGGCGCTTACTCGGAACTAAATAGCACGGACTATGGATGATCTACTATTCACATACCTCAAATGCCCTCCTTTCTTTTTCCGTCATAGCTTCTAGGCCCATCTCAGCCCGTGGCTGTTGTATGGAGTATTCAAACCTCTGACCTAGGCCCCCACGCGTAGACATGCCCGGCTTCAAATTCAATTCACCCTCTTCATTGAACCAATCCAATCTTTAACTCCATTTTCCCCACCACTCCGGAGGTAAGATGGCAAGTACCTCGACTTGCTCTGCAGTAACACGGTCTGCAGTTGGGAAGAATGCCTCAAACAATGGGCGGTAGCCAGCAATCTCCCAGATGGTACAAGCAAGTGTCCAGATGTCTGACGCAAAGGAGAGTGGCTCGTTGAAGAATCTGGAGGAGAGGAAGGGTCTTCGAGGAAAATTTGGGTGATATTGTGGGTTGAAATATTCGCCAAAATCGCGGAGGATGATTCTCGCTGCGGACACCAAACCAACCGGGAATGAACACTTGCGCGGGCACGCCATTTGACAATGCTTTCCATCGAGACGGACAATGTCCTCTGGCTCTGGCTTTCTGGATATTTCGTACAGCTCCAATGTGGAGAGACGATCTATCACTTCAGGAAACTGGATAAGGATACCTCCTCTTCCAAGTTTAGAAGGTTGGTTCCCAAGAGAACATATAAGACTAGCCTCCTGCGTGCAGCCACTAGCATCAGCAGTGATCACCTTCACTGCCACATGGCGGGCTTTTTGTCAATCCCTCGATAGCGGGCATTATCTAATTCATCACCGACTTGTAGAGGATGGTATCCTCCAGGTTGGTATCTGTCTAGGTCTTCGACATCTTCAATCAGCCTACACTGGGACATGCCAAGACTTCTATTCATTGTAGAAGATTCATTGGCATGAGCTGTATCTCGGCGTATGTTATCTGTCTTCCGGGTGGTAAGTGTGGACGTCGATATGGCCTTTCGGATATGAAATTTATTCGATAGAAAACTACATGTCTGTCTAGAGAATCGCCATGGGCCCATGCGAGTATGTGTAAGCACCTACAGAGGCAGCATCCAGTATAACGGCTTCTGTGACGTTAAGACAACTCCGGAGGTCTCCCTAGTGGATTAGGTTTGGTTAGGTTGGGAGCTGTGGTTCGTTGCAGTACACACTGGCCCCTTGGCTTGTGAGCTGCAACCAATTAGCGGGTCCTCATTTGAAGCTCCCCTCTCCCCGCCACTTTGACCCTCCACTTTGTTCTGCATGCTAGTGTGAATAATTGGTCGTCCATGAAGACATTTATTTGGGTGTGTAGGTATAATACAAGACTATGATACATAGTACTGTATCAATTGACCATTACAAAGTGTAGTGCCTAGCTTGTGTCTTGGTTTTGGGGGTTAAGAAACAATCAGAGTATTGTACGGAGTACATTGGAGGTGATGACACTAATTTCTGAAAGTGCTCTAACTACATGTAGTGGACACATTGCCTTAGATTCCCGGTAATATCCACGGTCATCCTCTAGCTCCTAGGAGTCAAATTGCGGGGTATATTCTTAGGGAACGGAAAGGAAAGGAAAGACAGAGAACAGAGAACGTAGGACCTAACTGGAATAGTGCGTACATTAACAAACAAATGAAATGAGCCATAAGCCAACGGCTGGATGCTGCAACATCTTGTGCCAGGGAATAAACCCGGTCGGAGGCCCGGGGGACAACATGATTCGTCCGAAATAATAGTAATTGCAGATGAACCTTGCTAATCCCTGAGTCCTCATTGACAGTAGTTTTATATTTGCACAAGGGGGTGGAATCATCCACTGAGGTTGAGAGACAAGAGTCACGTTGACGATGCCATTTATTGTACTACACGACTGTGTGGCACAGAGCTGTTCAACGGTCTAGACCTGAGGACAGAGGTGAGAGGGTTTATGTATGTCTTGGCTGAATGTGAAGATATCCCCACAAAAAGGGGGGTTAATAAGAGTAAGGGTCATTTTATATTAGAGAGGGGGTATGAAGTGTCAGAAAATGCATATCAATCCGGGGTAAAGAGGCAGAGTCTGGCCTTGTTGCCCCGCAAGTGTGCGACCCGAGGGCCGTGCGATGGTTTTCTTTTTTCTTTTTTTTTTTTTTCAGAGTACAGAGTATTAGATATAATACTAGTCAGGTTACTATACTTTGTATTGTCTATACATATATATATATATTGCAATGCTTTATAATGTGGACTTGTAAATTAGTGGCACAACCCCAGATGATCGGCTTATTTTTCCAAGGGACCCGCCTGTTCTGGATGGGGGTCTACGCCACCTTGCCTAAGCCTAATAGCTCCATATTCCTGATCTTCTTGTTTCATTTTATTTTATACGTCTTGGTGAAGTATACTCTACTCTTAATATCTTCTTTATAATTTTCATGTCTTCTTAAAAAAAAACCCACTAAAAAACCACTAACAATCCCACTAAAAAGAACTAAAAAATCGACTAAAAAATCGAAGATCAAACCATAGTGGTCCGTGTCCTCCGGGGCAACGTTGCCAGATCCGTAAGAGAAGTTACCCCAGGCTCTTTGCGTTCCCCTCATCTTTTACATTATCCCCCTCTCTTCTTCTCCCACTTTCATCCCATCTACACATCTTCTTCTTCGATCGCAAGATGCGCCATCCTTAAGGGGAACAGCATAGTCCTCCGACTTGCTCCACAACGTCATCTGTGGTCACAGCTTCGATCGTGCAAACTCTCCGAGCGCATTCCATCTCCCAATAGACCGACCATCGAACATTCAGATTCAGCATCTTTGTTGGCACGCGCCTCGGCCTATCCTCGAAAATACGGCACTTCTGCTGTTCGCCAGTTCTGTCTATCTGACCGATCCCATCGCACTCCTTCCTCCGTTCACCTCGAAATTCACTTGTGCAATTCGGGTACAGGGCTCCCCCAACATTTTTGACGAGACCCACGATCACCGTGCGCACCTGCTTGCAAATAGACATTTTGAGAGAGAAACGATTAGAGTGGTGAGTCGCGCAACGTTTCTGTCGAGTTTCTCAGGTCCTGAACGCGACTGGGCTGATACATGGATAATTCTCTAGACACAATTGCGATCACGCGACTGCTTTTGATTTTCGACTCGCTTTTCTTTGTGGATACTATTTTACTTGAGAGGTGTCTGGTGATCTTCGCGCGTCAACTAGGGCTGCTTAAAGGATTCGTTCAAGTATTTGACGCTAACTGGAGGTACGTACGAGTCTGGTTCTCGGTCGCTCTCCTTTCCTACATCTTGGGCAATGTGCTTCTCTGTGGCGCTATCTGCTTGCATGTCATTTTCATATTTCTCTTCTCTGTGGCCATCTCTCACTCTTCCCTTACTCCCTTTGCAATTGAACTTCACATCCATGTCCATCGGGTTGCGCACAGCTCTCTCTTGGTTGAGGGGTTTTTTGGGCCATCCCCACTTCTGGACCCTCTCGCAAGAGGGGCCGAGGATATGCATATCTGCACAATCTCCGCTTTTATCTTACACCTGGGCAGCTCTCAGTCATGCCACCCCTACATACGCTGATATTTTCCCTCATTTGTTCCTTTGCCCCCCTCTTTTGCCATCCAGCTTCAATATGGGAACAATCGCTGACTTCGACTTAGCCGGAATTGAACATAGCGCATACACCTAGTCATCCGTCGTCGCTTTAAAGACCAGAGATCGACCCTTTACCCCAACCTCATCGAGCGCGTGGAACAAAGACAGGTGCTTTATCGCATGTGGTCAAATTTTATTTTTTTTGAACCAAGAGACATCTATACAGTACAGATTTGCCATTAACAAAGATCGTACAGGTCAGTGAATTACCTCTCATTTCTCCATTGCTTCGGGCTATTCCTTGATCAGATATCCCCGCTCTGTTTGTGTTGCTTCACTGAGTGTCAAGTGGTGCTCATGGTGACACAGTCTGCAGGGAATAATCGCGTTTGTCACACATATTACACTGGGAATCCTATACTAACATGCAACAGTGTCTCTTTCACCAGAATGGCAGCGCCATCTAACAAACCGACCTCGATGGCTCATTCATCTACCCCACCCTCTGCGGCGACAGCGTCTGCCATCCTCGAGAAGACTCACCCAGGCGTGCGCCGTTCAACCCCAGACTCGGATGCATTGGCTTCTTCTGACGATGATGGAGAGCATGGAGCGCAAGCCCAAAATATCATCCCCCCTACCACCAGGCCACCCGTCCGTCGCACCTCATGGTTGAATGAAGTGCCTTTTTCCGCTCAGCGTAAACATTCGCTGCCTGGAGGTCACCTTTCTTCCGCCCCATCAAACCCTACAAGCCCCGCTAGTGATCAGGCACCATGGGCGACAACTACGAGCCCAGGTCTTGCCGGATCTTTCAATTGGAATCAAAACGGAGGAAATGCATTTTCCTGGGGCACAGGCACAGGAATCTGGAACACTGAATCACGCAAGGAACCACCTTCTCGCTTGGCAGAAATGGTACCCTCTCCTACTATGACCAACCCACCTCCTTTGGGCGGCAACGTGTCAGATGAAATGTTGAGCCCAATCACCCGTACCATCTCTGGTGAATCCACTATCCCATTCTCCATCCCGTTACAACCAACTCTCAAAACCTACCGCTCTCAGTCATATTCTGTGGGTCAGATGGACCCTGAGTTCCTCGGCCTCTCTACGAACAAGCCCGGTGCGGCTCCTGCTGCTGGTGCGCAATACCCAGGAAGTCGTTCCCGCGGTCCGGGTCAAATGTCTGCTGT